CACAGTTTCACATCAGCTTGGGTGAAGTCAGGGAGGCTACATCCATATTTTATACAGTCTTTTTCTTGAACACTAACAGTGTAGTTCTAGATTTGACTTCATGAAAAGTGACCGTAAACACGTTCGCTAGGCCCTCTGACTGACTGCTTAATAATGTTACGCAAAGGTCCCTTTACGCCTAACCTACCCAGCGAATGGGGAAATGCAAGTTTTTGGACAAATGGTTGGATGACAAAGAATTTGAACCATGGCTGAGGTCCTCTGTGTGTGTCAGTGAGACTATGACTTTTTCAAAGACATTTTTTATGATCGACTATGATAAACTACAATATGACATTTTTTATGTCAAAAATGTCACAATATACTATGACTTTTTATGACATACTATACGATGACCTTGTTGATGACTTTTTTTTAATGCAAAATGATTGAGGGGCAGACAGAAAATGGCCACACATAAAACAAAACATCTAATCTATCACACTTCCACATTAAACGCAAGAGTTCTACCAAAATGGCTAACTTTAGCTAACAGCTCTTGCATTGATGACAGGTTTTGGTGTTGCAAAACAATGCGCCATTAGCTGTTCTAATATTATTTTAAACCATGGCCTATTGTGGCCTTTTTTCTCATAGTAAGTATGGTATGTCACAAAAATGTCATAAAGAATTTAAGGTATAGAGTTTTGTAAAATTTCACAAAAATGTGATTACATAGTATGCTATTAAAATCTCCAGAGACTTAAAAAACTCCTAATATTGTATATCATTAAAATAAGTATACTATTTCATAGTATATATATGTTATATTATTTCAAAAAGTCATACTATAGTATGTTGAAAAAAATTACTGAAAGTAATAGTATAGTATGTCAAAAAAGACTGACTATAGTATGTTGAGAAAAAGTCCAAGTAATGTATGTCCAAAAAAGTTGTAAAATAGTCACAGTAAAATCTCTGAAAAGTCATAAAATAAGTAACATGCCAGTGCGTAAAGTTGACGCAGCAAGGCCGAGATCCTCCTTGTGGCACTGGCACCGCACTGGCTAGTCTGTGGCAAGCGTCAGTCAGGTGTCACAACAGCGGCAAGCGAGCGGCACTCGTTCGGCACCCGTCAAGAAGCTGCCGAGCTGAGCGGGCGGAGCCACTTTTTCCTTTTACTTGCTGGGTCAAAGCTGCTAGCTGTGGGGGTAGACGACCCTTTGATACGATTTCACGCTTTTCCTGAAATGTCCTCCTCGAGAGAGGCTTTGTCAGTAATTCCGCCACCAAATCGGTTTCTCCTCCTCCTTCAGCCATTGAGTGTTAAAAAAACACAGCTAGGTAAAAAAAAAAAAGAATCTCCACCAAGCAAAACGCTAAAAAAGTCATAACTTCTATGTTTCAACCTGAACTCTTACTAAATACCAAAATCTGCTAGCTTTCTGTTTGACAAAAGTCACTCTGGCCTACTGACCAATCACGGCGCACGTTAATGCAGACGTACTTAGCAGGCTACCTGGGTAGCAGTGGCACGTCAAAGAATACGCCCAACATGTCAAACTAAAGATCTGATTGGTTGAAGACTATGACAATCAACAATATCGTCCCCATTCACTTTAATCTGCAAAGTCTACCTAGAGGACCTCGGGCCTCTCTCTCCTATAGAGACAGCATAGAGGTGACATCTGATTGGATAAAAGCTCTCCTTAAAACAAGCTGTGCTGGAAGCAGCGCTGCAGGCTGGAAGCAGAGCAACAGAGGAAGACAGGAGCTGTGCAATGAGAAAATAAGCTAATGGGAAAAAAAATTATGATGCATGTAGTGTATTTGTGAAAAAATATTAAATTGTAAAATAGCTATAACTTTGTGATTCTGTTTAGCCCAGCAGAGAAGGCTTAGCTGGCCCTGACGGCCCACCGCTGTAGTACAGTATGCCATGTCTCAAAAAAATCATACAAAAGTCATAGTAAAGTATTTAAAAAAAAAGTAATTGTAGAGTATGTTGAAAAAGTGATTACAAGTAATTGTACAGTATGTCAAAAACACTATTGTATGTCGAAAAATGTCAAAGAATCGTGTGTCAGAAAAAGTCATAGTATAATATGTCGAAAAAGTCATTGAAATGTCATACTATAGTACAGGAGTATTCAATTAAAATTTAAACAGGTCCAGATTGAGAAAATATCCTCGTGCAAACGTCCGGAACACTACAATAATATCTATCTTGTGCTGTTTAGTGCCATATATATTCAAGTAGCCTAGCAGTTGTATCAACGTCTCTGTGTAGTCAACAACTGTCAAATCAAATAATGACAGCACACAGAAATGATGTATTAACAATTATTATTGTCAGTTTTCAAATTGAACTGTATGGATTATTAATAATACACAGAAATACATAAATAAATGTTCTTCTCTCATTTCAAGTAAAATAAGAACTTCATCTAAAAATTAAATACACAAGAAAGAACTTTTTGAAAAACTTGGATCTTAAAAGAAAGTCTTTCATTTTTCTAAAATCAAGCAAAGAGTTTAGCTGGAGTAAAGTGTGCTTGTCTTTTGTTAACTCCATCTCACATCATAACAGTCTCAGTTAACTTTACAATAAACAATCTCAACACATTTTAACAATTGAACAGCTTTTAACACCTCATTTTCTCTTTCTTCCCCTCTTACATCCCACTCCCCCACTTTCTCTTGTTCAGTGAGAGAAGTGGGCGGTAGCTTGTCCCGCCAGGATTTTAAATCTGGGCTGGAATGGTGTCAGTTCTAGACTCACACACATGTGACGGTGCTCATTGGATATCCTGGAACGATATTTGCTTTTAATAATGTTCATAGTGGAAAAAGCTGCCTGGCAGCTGTATGTGGAGCGGAACATGGTTAAGATGTACAGGCCTACTTTCCTCCGACCTGGGCAAGCTGTCTATGAGACCATCTGGAGCCAGAAGGTGGCAGAGTCAGTTCGTCCAAAATGCTCTTTCAGGGCTACATCTGCTTGAAGATCGATCAGTTGCATCTGGAGAGGTGCTGTGTGACTTCCTTTGAGAACCCCCTTGACATCTGTGATGAGGAATGGGTTCTGAAGGAACAGGGTGAGCTGCTGTCCAAGGCTGAAGTTTTCAAAACGTGTGCTGAAGTTTACAATCAGCGTGTCAACAAGTCAACAAAAGAAGATACATCTCGCTCACCCTCAACCTGATCGTGCACAGTTGGGAAGTGTGCACATTCTGCCTGCAGGTCTTCCTTTAAACACCTCAAGTTTCCTCTGGAAGGAGGGTACAGCTGTCATCAGGTCACAAACTGAATTGTTTTTGCCCTGCAGCTTTACGTTCAGTTCACTCAAATGTCTACCAGAAAAGCAATGATATGCATATTGTTCTCATCTTCTACAAAGAGAGAAAATTGTGTTGCCTTCTGGCTCTTCAGCTGTTTAAGGAATGCAGCAATTTCCCTTCGAATGGACCAAAAGCGCTCCAACACCCGACCTTTGCTGAGCCATCTTACGTTGTTGTGCAGCAGAAGGTGGTAAGAGGATGCTCTGAGAAAGTTAATCACTATCAATTATCTTCATCACCTCAGCATATTCTTCTGACGAGGTGGAGCACAGGACAGATTGATGAATTAAGCAGTGGTATGAGATGAGCTCAGGATTGTCCTCTTTCATTCTTGCCACTGTGCCTTTCTCTCTCCCTACCATGGCAGGGGCTCCATCTGTGGTTATTGAAACCACTTGTTTCAAGTCTATTCCCCCTTTAGTTAACATCTTCTTTATGTCCAGAGAGATGCCCTTTCCTCTTGTACTGGTGTTAAGGGGTGTAACAGCCAACAGGTCCTCACAGAACACTTTCTTCTCAGGTGGGCATTGTCAGACACATCAGTGGACTCATCTACAGCTAAGCCAACACAGGGTGCTTTATGAATTGTTTCATCCAGCTGTGCTAGTACATCCTGGCCTAATATTTCAGTTTTCTTTGTGGCTGATGATGCTGATATAGGTATTTGCTTGAGGTTTTTTCACATAACTCTTCTATTTGCTTCCCCTCAAGTAAAGTTTCAGCTACCGCACTCATGCACTCCTTGACAACTTTATATAGTTTTATATACGTAAGTATTAAAACTAATCCTTATATTCACAATTATGTTAGTTTGTCCAATTACTTCGGAGGCTCTAAAAATGTGGGGGACTGTGTAAAAATGGCTGTTTTTCCAAACGGTTAATGTGATATTTTTGTTGTATCCATTGAATTAAATCTGAAAGTCTACACTACACCACATATTATATAGAAATATTGACTGTTTCACTTCAAATCGTTGAGAGGTAAAATTTGAAAAATGGTGTCACAGTCCAAGTACTTTTGGCCCTGACTGTAGTACGTCAAAAAAGTCATCGTATAGTATGTCAAAAATAAGTCAAAGTATGGCATATCAAAAAGTCATAAAGACATAGGATAGTATGTTGAAAAAATTCCTAAAAAAGTCACAGTATGTTGAAAAACCATGGTATAGCATGTTAAAAAAGTAATAAAAAGTCATAGTTTAATATGTAAACAAGTCATAGTATAGAGCATGTTGAAAAAAATCTTTAAAAAGTCATAATATAGTTTTTCGAAAAAAGTCACAAAAAAGTCATAGTATAGTCTGTAAAAACACTCATAGTATAGTACGTTGAAAATAGTCATAAGAATTGAGAGTATATTATGTCGAAAAAGTCAGAATAGCATGTCGAAAACATTCACAGAAACGTCATAGTATGTCAAAAAAAGGTCATAAAAAAGAAATAGTACATCATGTCGAAAACGTAATAGAATAGCATGTCGAAAATATTCATTTATGATATATTGTGTCTGAAAAACAGTTCAATTGTATGAAACAATGATCACAACATGATCCACTTTTATGTAATGAATTGTCCTGAATAACATCCAGTTCAAATATAACTCATAGAGCACCTCTGGAATATTGATGAAGGTGTCGGGAAACCTGCAGACAGCAAAAAGTTGGCAAATTAGACAAGGTGCATAAAATAGTAAATAGTTTTATTCTTTTTTTTTTTAACCATGCCACCGAACACTGACGCATACAGAGTTGTGCCTGAATCCACACTGAGAAAACACTTTCACACACCGTGTTACAAAGCTGTAATGAAGAGGGATTTTACTGCACACATGGCAAGAGGAACAACCCTGATTGGATACCAGGTCGAGCTTTGATCTGGCCCTGAGGTAGACAGACATTGACATAATCTAAACAATGCTAATCACATCCTTCTAGGACACATCAAATAAAAGGACATCTGCATTATCACAACATAGAAAGATCAAAGAATAAACCCTTTTCAAACAAAAGTGCTCTGTTTCTTTTGGTCCACCAAGGAAATCCATTTATAGTGCATGTTCATGTAGAATAGATACAGTGAATGTGTGTTTTCATGGCACTGAGTGTTGTCGGCTACTTAAGCGGGCATCGGTAAGTACCCACAGACGCCGGGATTTGCTATACACACTGTTTTCATCCAGAAATCTCAGTCCATTGTCACTTTGAAGGGAACAAGTTGATGCAAGTTTTCAAGCGACTGTGATGTAAAAAGTACACACTCGTCTCAGAGGATCAGTCACAATCACAGTATGATTCTTCCAGTTGCAATGTTCAGACAAAGTGGATGTACATGGCAGTCTTATCTTTAATTAAGTAACAATAAACAAACACCCAGAAACAACAACCAGTAGCACAGACCCATGTACTCAAGCACATCAATGCTCTACTTATAAAAGAGGCACAAGGGAGGGATCTTAATCAGAGACTTATAAAACACACACATTAAGATGTTTCTCAAATCATACCAAATGTAAACAGATAGCAAATTACTGTAATACAAAAATACAACATGTTTAAATCTATAAGGCCTGTGTTAGGCTCACATTAGGGAATAACAGACCATGACAATTTGTACATTACAGCTACACAACAACTGACAATAACCTGCTCATAGTGATTCAATGTCAGAATTTTTCTTTTCAGGTTTTGTAAAAAAAACAACAACTTCTTCTCACGTTCTCTTTAATTTTCTCCTCGGAAATTCAGATTCTGTAATCTTATAAGACATCTATATATAGTTAATAATAAAAACCTACACATAAAAGAGGCTGTTTTTTTTTTTTACTCACTGCTTGTCCATTGAAATAGATTTGTTAGAAAATTTGAACTACTGATGACTGAATAATTTGCAGTAGGTTTAACAGTTAGGAGAGGTAGAGCTCTCTCTCTCTCTCTCTCTCTCTCTCTCTCTCTCTCTCCTAAAAATCCAACCAAGATGACATAGACTGTGACGAAAACCAGCACATATTTGGTAACAAATAAACAACATATAAATAGCAAAACCTATTACATTGCAACAGAAACTCAAATTGTCAGCAAGCTATCTCGAAAAAGAAAAAATAACACCCACTGCAAGAAAGACAAGGCAATTAAAGAGATAAAGCTTATGAGGTCAAAAGGTGGCAGCCATTCAAGTACATGCAACATAAAAAACTCCAAAATAAAATCCAACAGCAGAAAATAAAACTTAGAAGTCACAGGAATTTAGGCAAGTTGCCTAATGTTGCAAATGTCAGCCCATCAAGCCTTCATGGAATCATTTTCGTCTACTGCACAATCAGAGAAGATGACTCGGGTTGCCTGATGGTTCAGCAATCAATCAATCAATCAATCAATCAATCGAAAAGCCCCAGCTACATATACAGGTCAGCAGTCACAGCCATTGTGGCTTTCACTTTAAACCACAGTGGATCCATTAGAGACGCAGTGAATAGCTAAACTGTGTGTGTGAGGAAGAGAGGGAGAGTGTGTGTATGTTTATGCGCACGAGGGCTGAAATAATAAGTCGGCAAGAATTTTTGAGTTGAAGTAATTTCTCGGGGGGAAATGCTAAATATTCAGGGTTTCCTGCTTCTCAAAATGTGACAATTCGCTGCTCTTCACTGTTTTGTATCATTGTAAACTGAATCTCTTCAGACTGGACAGTCGGTCGGACGACCTAACAGCAGTTATTTCAAGATGTCCGTCCCCTTGTCACCAAAATGTGACTACTTTTATGACATTTCTCATACTAAACGGTTCATCACTTAGTAGTAAAAATTACCTAATTGATAATGAAACTAAAGATTAGTTGGAGCCCTAGTGTGTACACACATTTGTATTCGTGCTTGCGTGTCTTAGTTGTCAGGTAACAACCTTGTATCTCCCAGAATGACAACTTACCACAATGTATTTTTTTCAGTTTATCCAAAAAGAGTCTGAAATATTATTTTTTTTAAACCTATAGAGAGAGACATGTAATCTTTCAGCATGAAAAAACAGCAACACTGGAGTTACGAGGTTTTCACCCAACAGTGACAGTGTGTGTGCGGGGGGGGGTCTAAGTCCTGCTCAGACGTAACAGACGTACAGGTAAGTCTTTTCTATCCTCCAGTCCGCTGGCACATCCTCTGGCTTGTGGCCCTTTATGTGCTTCTGCATGGAGGCCAGGCTCGGGCAGAAGTCCTGGCAGACGGTGCACTGGTACGGAGACGCTCCGTTGTGAGTGCGCAGGTGCTTGATCATAGCCGAGTAGTCTCTGGAACGTTGGTGACACAGCTTACACTCGAATGGCTTCTCACCTGAAAAATTCAACAATACAGCATTAACCTTGTCGACCCGGAGCCGGAGGGAATGCCAGGTGAAACGGGACTCACCTCTTATTTCAGTCCACTGTACTTGTTGAGGTATTGTGTGGTGTTTGTGTCTGTTAGTGCTGTAGGATTAGAGCTATATCGGTTTGCTAATTAGTTATTGGCCAGTCAGAGTCATCCACCGCAAGTACGACAGAGGTTTCTCTCTGACCTCAGCAAGAATCAGGTAGCAGTTAGTACAATCTGCAACCTGGAGTACAATTTAGACCTGTTGCACATCTTAATGATCTAAATCAGTGGTTCTGTAGTGTTTTTTTTATATCACGTAATTATATTTAAAAGCGCTCTGTAGCTGTAAAATAGCTTTGAAAGCTGCAAACCATCAAGATGATCAAAAATGTGTTGTAAGATTTTACTGTATTTAGTCCCAATTTCGATTGGATTTGAATGCTGTTTTTTACTCTAAAAATAACATATGGAGGCCGTGTTCATCATAATGAAGACAAAATAAGCTACACAAGCAATACTTGCCAGTAAAATAACAAATGAATAACAAATGAATTGTTGGTTTCGGTCCAGTTATGGGATTTGTTGACAAAAACAAAATACTTGACCACTCGCCTTATCGTTTTAAATTGGAAGATATTTAATAATCACCCCCATTAGTAGAACTAAAATCCCCCGAACACCTTGCTAACTTGTATGTTTGAGTGTGTTTTCCTGTCTGAACTCTCACCCGTATGGACACGGTAGTGTGTTTCTAGCTGGTGTTTGAGGCTGAACCTCTTCCCACAGCCGTTGCACTCATAAGGCTTCTCTCCTGTGTGGATGCGTTTATGGCCCCTCAGCGTGCCGTCGTCTCTGAAACAGCTCCCGCAGAATTCACACTCAAACGGGTGATCGCCTGAAAACACAGTTGCGTCACCGCAGTAGCCGCAACACCAACACGGTGCATTATCGTGAGAAGCATTAACGGCTTTATCCTCGGCACGACATGGTATATGGGTGCATATGTGGCTGCGTAGGTCAAATAGTCACAAAGCCCGTTCTGCACATGCATATCAAGCAGGGAAATGATGTGCTTTCAGACGTTGCTAATGTTATGACACGAGGACACTCCTCTTGGCTGTCTGCTAATAGCTAATAAAAGTCCTCCAGGCATGCACTGCTCGCTTCTCTATACTGTAGTTAATCTATTTCTCTCCGAGGCTGAGGGTTTGACTCATCTTCAATGACCTATGTGCCTCATTATCTCAGTGTCCACAGCAACAGCCAAGTCAGAGGATACATTGCTCTCCTCATTACAAGCCGATTCTCCCCAATCCCCCCCCCCCCCCCCCCCCCCCCCACCCCACTGTGGAGCAGATGACATTTACAAAATGTTACTTCCAAGCAGAATGCCATACAAACAAGATACGCTGCCATGGCCAAAACTCTCTTCACTTCTGTCTCTTCACATCAATTATGTATTTCTCCTGTCTAGACATCAAGCCATCGTGACAGCTGGGAGTGTTATTTAAGGTAAAAGAAGAAAGAGGGACATCTTTTCAGTAAATATCTCTCAAGTCTCCTGCGGCACTAAGACTCACCCTCGGTAGAACACACAGACAAGTCATTTCCATTTGCTTTTCCTTCAATATTTATTTGGGTTCCCTCTATCATTTTGGGTGAACCACACTAGAACTGACAGCCGTGAATTGCAGAAGCCCAAAGGCTGTCTAAGAACCCAAAATATAAACAGGATGAAATTGCCCAAAATATGCACCGGCCATAACGGTACAGTTCTGTCATCAGAGAGGTGAGTCATCTCATAGAGAAGGGAAAAGGAGGGTGGGAGAGGATGCATGCAAATTGTCGAAAAAACCTCAAAGCCAGTAACCTAAGGAAATGAACCCATATACAAAAATAAACAGCAGTCTTTGTCTCTTTTTCAAAATATGCATTGCGTTTGCCACCACATGCGTATGTTTTAGTACAGGAGATAACACTATAGGCGGCGATGACGGTGCAAATGATCCGTCTCTTACCAGTGTGCGAGCGCAAGTGTCTTTTGAGGGTCGTGTGGCTGGGGAAGGGGCGCTCGCAGTGGCTACAGATGTAGCTGTGCATGCCTGCATGGACCTCCATGTGCTGCTGCAGGGCCTTCTGGGTCTGGAAGCGCTTTGCACACAGCAGACAGAACACCGCCATGTCAGTCCCTGGAGAACGCACAAGACACAGACGCACAGTTATTTCAGTACCATACACAGACAGGGCCGTAAGTGGGGAAACTGGGTCACTTCAACTTTGTGTGAGTCCTCAGAGGGAAAAGCTTCTTTCAAAGAGCAAGCGCCTCTACCTAAACTAACTCCCCTAAAAGCCCAGAGGCACTTTCAACTGCGAGTCTTTATGCGTTCTATTTTAAACCATGAAAGTCATTGTTTTCTTTAAGAATTTCCCACACAATGCACAGCATGCCAATCACACAATCAATGGCTCCTTCCTGGTGTGTTAGATGTGTAATTATTCTCTTCATTCCCCATCAGGAGTCAGCTCCAGCCTGTGAAGTCCTCTGTCTCTGTGCTCAAAGAGCGGCTGATATTAGCTCCACCCTAAATGATGCCTACTCCATGCGCTCTGTGCAGAATGTTAAGTAGTGATATCAAGCCATTAAAGGCAGGACTGCAGGAAAAAACACAATCCAGTTTAATCCTGTGTGTGACCTGGCATCTCTTTGGGGCTGCTTTCCTGTTGCACAGAGTGTGGAGAGGAATACAGAGAGGGAGTCGCTGGCAGGGTAGCTCAAGTCAAAATGGCTATGTGAAGAAGATCCATTGGCTGTCATACAGTCAACACTTGATCTACGGGCTGCGTACGCCAGCACTCAAATCCGTTCTGGCATTCGCACCGATGCAAATTCATACATGCGGGTAAGACAGAGGGACTGGTTAATCAGCTGCATTGGACATAATGTGCATGTCCTGGAGAGTGAGGCTTTAATGCGAGATTATGAGGTCCTTATTTCTCTGTCTGCTCAGGTTGCAGATCATTTACAATGCTAGCAGGTCCCATTGCTCCTGACTCAGATTCAATCAGACATCTCCAGCGGTGGATCATTAGTAAACAGAGGACTGTGCCAGCACTTCATTGGAATTCAAGTGGGGTTGCTGTGTCGCATTTAAAATGCAGTCTGATGAGGTCCACTAAATCAAATCATTTGTTACTGTTATTGAAGTGCCTTGAGGCAACTGGCAATTAAATTGGAATTAACGCAGGGAAAGGGATACAGCACACTCATACTAAGAGGGAAGAGTGTCAGACACTTGCTTTAGGTTCAATCAAGTTAACAGGCAAGCCTGTTGAAAGCAGAAAGAAAAGGAAACAAATCAAGCAAATTCACATTTTCAAGGAAAAAATAAGAAACATTCATTGTGTATTGTTTTCTAATCCACGTGTCACCATTTGCTCAAACAAAGCAAGACGCTTTTTCAGACTCCACATGTCACGTATTGGTATAATTTGGCAGAGAGGCACAAAGCCTCGTCCTTGAAATTACGGGGCTTCTTTTTAAACCTAGTATTTGAAATTTTCACCCCAAAAAAACGTCACTAATAGAACTGATCATTCGTAATCATTAACAGAGAAAAAAGACAGGATGAAAGACATTCCCTGATCCAAACAATCCTGCAGGGAGGCGATCCAGTGGAATGAACTGCACCTGTTCAGAGGCTTTAGCCTGTGGACTTTTGCACAAAGGGCACACAATGAGGTTCAGGCCCTCATTGACCAAGCCCATTAGTCATAGGCTCCTCACGCAACTCCTACAATCCCCGTCTTTATGCTGTCGCCTAATGACCAAAGTTCTTTCTCACCCGTGGCTCACAATATTTTAGTTGAAGACAAAAGACCCTCCATTCTCAACGCCTCTGCGAGCCCTTCTCCACTCCTCTTATTCGCTGACCATACAGGAAATCCTTTCACCGTCCAACCAGCTTCCCTTTCTGTCTGAGTCATACCTAACTAATGCCAGTTCACTAGACACTGTGCAACACTGGAGCCTGGATAATGATCCATCCAAAAATGGATAAAGGCATTTAAAAGGCACAGAATTGCAGTCTCTGCATGACCTGAGATGCGGATCCGCTTTGACCAGTTTCTCTTGTAATATTTGCTGCAGCCAGCAGGGGGAGTGCTTCCTGCTCCGATGTATCCAGGATACCCTAGCTGCAGTCTGAGCAGAGCAGAGCCCTCAAACAGCTGAATAACACATTAAACACCTTGTAGCTACGTCAAAGCTACTTTAATCAGACTCTCTACCCTCTCTTCATTAACTAGCATATATTGAAAATGCGTGTTTCAATGCAGCCTGCATACTTTGTTCTGTCGGCTCTGAAGGTTTACCAGTTTTTTCCCCAGTTTCTTTGTGGAGGTTAAACCGTTACTCCTGACACACGCGCAGACTCTCACAGATGTATAACCTGATCCTTCTGTCACCAATAATACCGAAACTTGAGTGAAGAAATATGACAAACATTCTGTCACAAGAATCTCACTCTTGATCTCAGGTTGTCACACGGTGACAACAGCTCAGCAGTCGCTTTCGGTTTGATTCTGCGCAGGCGACGCTGAAAATAAAAATAACAAAATAATATCTTGAAGTGTAAACAAAAAACCTTTCGGAGGCGAGGAAGTGTTTGTATGCGTTAGTGGCGGCGTCTCGCCTCGCTGCGCTCTGTTAACTTTTCAAAGGAGAAGGATTTGCAGTTGTAGAGTTTTCCAGTAAGCTTTGGTAATAAGTGCAGAGGAGCTTCTTTATGAGAGCATAAGCCCTAAAGTTGGCGGTCATTGCCCCCTGCTTTCTCACCCTTAACCGGACAATGGGCTCAGGATTTGGGTTTTTAAAGGCACAGGATGACCCCTGACCTTTGGCCCTGAATGGGGTAAACACCATGTAATCAATGGTATTCCTCAAAGGCTGGAGCGTTGACTGAGCATTGTGTTTACTGGGAGGGAGCCTTAACAGTGGGAATAATGATTGCTTTCAAGCAAATCTGCTGAGAGGCAGAAAATATAAACATTGACTGTGTGCATTATATGACTGAGCTGCTTGTCTAATGCACAATTAGGTTAGTAATTCAGGACAGTCTGAGGTTGCTATGCTATTTCAGCATATCTCTACTAAGGCCATGTGTATGCTCATGTGACTTAACATGGTCTGCCTTCACACATCTGCCACTTATTCAGTCCAACCCGAGGTGGGAGCCAGCCATGCTCTCACGCTGCCTAAGAAACAAAACCATGTGTCTAGGCAACCAGATAGGATCATGGTCCTTGTTGGGGTGAAGTGTTCAAGCTAATCCCTTCATTCACAAATAAGCGCAGCCTGTTTCTTTTCAAGCGGCAAACAAAAGTTTTCCCACCCTGAGAATCTGGGAGTAAACCCACTGCACATTGAACAAGAGATTGTATTCAGTGACGACCGCAGATCTGTATAATTTCTGCTGCGTACATCTAAACTTCAGTGTCCCGAGCCCACCAATTAATGATTGATTTGTGAATAATCTGTCTTTTACATTTGCTGGAATACATAGGAACAAAACATTTCATTTGACCTGCGTTATTTAAAGAGATGCTTGCGCAGAATTTGACCTGTTAAGGGTATTTGTTTCAGTTAAGTTGTGAATGACAGCCAAGTCAAAGGAAAACAAATCTCCGGCTGCCGTCAAGAGGGCAGGGAATTTCACACAGATGTCGCAATTTACAATATTGCATCACGGGCTCATCATGTCCTCTAGTTGGAGTATGCAATGTGAAGACACTATTAACTATGTCCCAAGGCCCTGCTCAGTGCATACACAGTGAGCTCACTTTCTCACTGATATCACCCCAGTAAAACATACACAGTTATGCAGGCTACATTATGTGCTATAGACCTCACATGACCTCGCTACTGTATGCGTTCATGCAGACGGCTCCCTGTGCAGTTGCAGGCAGCGCATAGACAAACACTACAGTACCTTAAACAACCCCGGGCGCTCATCAGCCGACTGCTAATCTACCCGAGTGAGGAACAACCGACTTAATAATTAATGCAACAAGAGATACGTTCCTCGTGTTTAACCACCATTCCATGGATCGGTTCATTGAGGTCACACGCGGGTTTCATTCGCCTCGATTCCTCGAATGTTTACAATATTTTCTCCATCTACTATATTTCGCTCGATGCGAAAGGACAGGTTGTGTATCATGACAGCGAGGGCAAATAAATACTGGGGGCGCAATGGTCAAACAGAGCACAGTTCAAATCAGTTTAAGGCTTGTATGAATTACAGCTGGGTATTAACAGGAGAGTGCAGTACGATGACGGACACACAACCAGGGGAGCTAAAAGGTCTACATTATAGAGCCGGGGCTGTATCTGAATGAGCTACAGGAGCGTTTAATTAGGGCTCGGACAGAAGGTAATATTATTCACTTGATGAGGCAGCCTGTTATGTCTGGAAACAGTGCAGCTGCTGTGAGTACACAAAGGCAGCACTCTTATGGCCTTTGCCTTGAAGGCAAAGTGGCAAAATGGTCAGCCAGCATGGCTTGAAGCACACTGTATACAGTCAATTTCTGTGCGTGCTGTAGATAAGCTACAGTCTTGGGTTTTCCAAAATTGAGAACTGGGTGCCCCAGAGCCTTTGACTTGCTCTGATGAAACAAACCCCTTTGTTGTGAGAGCAATTCGGAGACAGATCCATTCTTTTATTTTGGGCACCGACAAGTAGGTCAGAGGAGACGATGACAGTGCGGTGGTGAGGAGTAAATAGCAGCACATGATGTTGTTTTCCTCTCAGTCCTGGCATCCAACACCAGCAGCAATCCTCCTGCCCTCAGGAAGTCCTCACATGCCCCCAACCCCCTTCCCTTCCCGCAGTCCACTCCGCCCCCAAATCCTCCACCCCCTCTTTGATCTCTAACTTCAGCAACCCACGGCTATTCACCTCTGACATATCAAAACAGCTAAAGAGACTTTCACTGTTGCCAGCCAGTGCTGCCAAACTGCTTCAGAGTAAGATCTCCCAAAAGCGGCGTTATCTACCTTCCAGAGGAGGTGGACAGCAGTTTTGCAGCTGCTGAGGTCCGACAAGTGTTAATCAGCTAAGAGGAAACTCATGCAGCTCACTGGTTATGCCGCACGGCAAATTAAAGCCGAGGCCGCACAATGGGCCATATCCTTAACACAGCTGATTTAATTACCTGTAACTCATGTTGGTGTAGGCCGTGAGAGCAACAATGAGATATGAAGGGTCATGCGTCACAGTCGAGCGAGCTGAGATCGTGTCAAAAATGAGGGAGTAATGCCCTCCCGTACCCTGCTCTGGATGCACTGCCAAGCTGAAACCGAGCTCTGGATGTTTACAACTTGGGGAGGTGAGGGTAGAATCTTCTGGGCATCGTTAACACCCCTCCATGTCCACAGCCATTAAGTATTCATACTGTGTGTGCCACCTGGAGTTACAGTTACATGACAATGCTCCTGCGAGGGTTATCGCCTTTCTCTGACAGTAGCAGAAAAGGTGTGGATTCAGACACTGTCAGGCATATGTATCGTCTGACAACAATGCGACTTATTCTTCACAGTTGGAGAGTCAAACAAGTGTTGCTTCGTGTTTCTCACTTTAAGCTAATGGGATATTGTTCAAGAGTAAAGTCCCGCTTCACTTCGAGGCTTACTTGTTAAGGCTTTATCGTATCAATGAAAATAAACTTGTAATAAATAAACCAGTTATCAATGCTTTGGGACTGATCGTGTTATTTAGTATTTATCACCACTGTGTGGAAAACAATGGGTCATAGGTTGTTTTTTTGTCCTCCCTAAAGGGTTGCAACTCACCATTATTTTCATTATCAATGAATCTTTTGGTCATTTAGCTGTTGGACAATAGTTCAAAGTATCCATCAAAATGTCCCAGAGTCAGAGGGGACGTTTTCAAATTGCTGCTTCTGTCAAACCAACAAGCCAAAATATCAAAGATATTAATTTTACTCTCAAATATTGACTTTAGAGAGGCTGAAACAGAAACATGTTTGCCTACTTTGCTTGAAAAGAATACTTTACGGTTAATACGGTTAATCAGTTATCAAGATCATTTTCTGTCAATCGACTAATCCGTTAATCAACTAATATTTTAAACTATACTTTAAAATAAACCAACAAGCTTTAATAATTAATATATATTGTAAAATATTTTATCTACTCTGATTTTTTTTTAAGCTTTTGTTCAGAAAGTTTTAAAGTCAAACTATTCAAGGGAAGTTTCCTCCCTTATCAATCAAAGAGCTATAAATACTGAGAAAGCCATGTTGGCAGAGAATAAAAAACAACCAAAGAATGCTAAAATGTAAGCAACCGAACCCGGCAAAATGTCTTCACCTCTTTTTTATTGTCCATAACTGATACACTGATGTAAATGGTGTCATGTTAGCGTGTGTGGTGAGATTTAGCAGTTTTATCATTATGTTTTATGTATCTTAGGTTAAAATCGGTGTGTTTTATGTTTGACCCGGGCAGGCCCTTTCAGATAACACATTTGAAGTTGATAGAGAAAATATTAATAATAATAAAGTGGCACTAGAAGTAATAATAACAATCTTGATGATAGTAATAGTAATTGACTGATTAAAAGAACATCTGCTCTTGACTTCAGGTTATAGAATTAATTGTTCTTGTTTCATATATTGCCGTATCTCATTGTTTCCCTTTTCCTCTCCCTAGAAAGCCATAAGTTGCTGCTTGCTTGCTACTAATAACACAGAAGTCTATTAATGTGGGTTTTAAGAATTGATTTAAAAGATGAAAACGACTTCAGCTCCTCAGGCAGTTTGTTCCAAACTGTAAAGATCCAAGATCACAACTCACCTTCCAGGTTTGTGCAGCCGCTCGGCCAACAAAAACACAACTATTAAGAAACTATATTCATCTGTTAATGCCAGTCATTCACTGGACGATACAAGGTTGTAATACAAACATTTTCTTTATTAATATTGTTGATAAACAGAAGGTGTTTATCTTGTTGTCGAGTGTGAGTGTAAGGTCATTAATTCCACCGCGAGAGGTGAGGATAGTATGGCTGTGAAACTGTAATACTGGCACTGTGATGATGGCGCTGTTAAAGCCACGGCTGTAGCAAAGTGGCATGCAGTGGGTTTGGATGCCGAGAGATATTAGTGGGTGATATGTGAGAGGGGCCTCCCACCTCCATGTTGATAAATTATGGAGCATCATGACAGGAACAGTTTAACCCAGCTAGCATGACAAGCAAGTTTAGACCCACGAGTGCAATTCCCGTAGTCACGGCTTGCTCGACAGGTCAATGCATGCTGTCCAGGTTTGATGTAATGTGTGTGTGTGTGTGTGTGTGAATTACCTGTGTGTGTTTGCTTGTGGGCTTCCAGAGCATCCTCTGAGGAGAATGTCGCTCCACACTGATCACACACCAGCGCCTCTGCAGGAGCTGTAGAAAGAATCAAATTCATAGTGAGGTCTCTTGATCAGACAGTAAACACAAACGCGTGTGTTTGTAATTGTAGGTTCAGTCAGTTAATTTAGCATTTAAAGGGAACTGTGGGGAAAAGGGACAAGATGGGAACAAAGGCGCCCCATTTCAAAAGTCACCAAAGAGCCCCCCGCTTGTCACACACTTTGTGCTTTTCAGGTGTGAACATAAGGAAGAAAATGCGCGGAGTACAATGGAGTAGAGGAAAGCGCCATGAAAACACAACTCAGGACAAACAAAAGCACCAAACAGGGTGCAACGGCCCTTCTTCTTGACAAAAAAAGAGCCAAGCTGGAGAGTTTTATTTACCGTGCCCTGTTATCAGACTCTGAACAGTGAGCAGACTGTCTGCCTGAGAGGCCACAGAAGGACTGGGTGTTCTCTCTACAGCAGACGCTTCCCGCCTGCGGCACATCCCTTTATCAAAAAAAACCCACTTCAGAGTCAACACCCCAAATCCCATCGCATGCACTGTAACTACAGTTCCCAGTTCACCTTTGGAATGCCCTTGTCTCTTCTGATGAAGACATGAAAGAGACAAGTATGCATACTGCTCGGAGAAATGTTCAATCCTCGTTCTGCACTCACCTCACACCTGCACAGACAGACACATAGGACAGATATGCACACACACACACACACATTCTCGCTCTCTCTCTCACACACACACGCGGGCGCACACAGCTGTTTGGATGTGGGTTGGCTCTCACAGAGATGTAAATCGGTTGCAGATCCATACTGGCCCAGGGCTCATTCACTGATCTATTTTCTGCTCAGCTGGCTTTAAATGAAGTTAAAATGACTCATTAAAACACCCACAAGCTTCGGGAACTCTGATCGCTACAGCCTAAATGTGGTCCTCTTTCAACTGTTACGATGCCTCTATACACAGACACTGTGCCACTGTTCCCAGTGCTGCTCACAAATAACGGAAAAAAAAAAAGCCCCAATCTGTTCATTTCTAAAAACAACAATTTTTTGAAAACAAACTGGTTACTGTTTTGGAACCGGTGCGTTTTGTTACACTGTGCAAAAATAAAACTTGGTGGGAAAGTAGTCTTCCCACCAAGTGGAATAGGAGTAATACCAGAACAGTGTTGTAGATGCTGATGTTGTGTGACGCTGTCCAGTGTGGTGTGTTGTGTTGTGTGAGATTGTGTGATAAGGGAAGAAGAGAACATAGTGCATTGTCTTGTGCAGTCAAAGGCACGGAGTGTGCTCTCATCCATAAACCATCAAACTGTCTCCAGACGCGGCTGCAATCGTCCTCCATCAAAACACTTTGTCTGGCATACCAAAATAAGAGCCAGCATCGAGCTGAATACCAAATCAGCCCATTAGAGCAGCGGAGCACTCGCTCCTTAGCAACCAGCGGGATCTAAGGCTGCTATACCGAAATACACGGTGACAAAGAAATGAGATCCACGTCTCTCTCTCTTTTTTTTTTTGTAGTATTACGGGTTGACACATCGGGATGCGGAGAGTTTATACAAAAATTCAAATTAGGTTAAAGGTGCTGCTGTTGCGGATGTCACTGTGAACTGAAAATCAAAGCGTGTTGTCGTAGATCTGCTGGTATTGCAAGACAATATGTGTGTTTGGGGTTACGCAGAGGGTATAAAAGGACAACTCAGGTGAAGTTTAAAGAAGCAGATTCCCTCTCATCTGTCAGCAGCATGTCACGTTGGAGAGGACAGGGACCTCGCCTTGTCTATACACATATTCCGACTGAGGTTTCTGTTTCTGTTTTAGTTTCATTTTTAGTCCCTGATCCCCCCCCTCCTCACCCATCCCCTCTCCTCCCCCCCCCCGCCCCCCCCTCCACTCCTCTTTCTCTATTTTGGATAAAGTAGCTGGGAGAGCAGTCAGGTCTGATTAAGTCTGCATTTGGGTACAGTGTGTTCCTGGACACACATCTGCGAGCGAGCCATCACACACGCTTCGGAACACTGGCAGAACACCCAGGCCTGCCGGCAGCTGATGATGTCATCACTCAGAAGGGGCAGAGCTGGTGAGCTGCCAGAGTCTCCCAAAAAAAAAAAAAAAAGAAACCACAGAAACGATTCAAACGGAGGGAGAGACTAGAGAGCGACGCAGAGGAGAGGGAGGGAGAGGTACGTAGACCTAAGCATGGAAAAGAAAGCATGATCCAAGTATTCGGAGCAGCACTAACTGGTAGGAGGAGGAGGGGGGGGGGGGACGTGTAGTATGAACAGGTGCATTTGAAAGGCCGCACTATCGAGAGGCTTCATGAGCACTGAATACTCTGAGATGAGAGTGTAAGAGTTACTAAGTACCTGTGTGAGACAGCATGTGCATCCTTAGCCGCATGCTGTCCTGGAAGTGTTTGCCACAGTATTCACAGCCGTGGCCTTTCTCCTCGTTATGCAGCCTCCTGTGGAAAGATAAACACAAATGCGAGCGTGTTAACAGGGACGAGAACAGAGCGAGTGCGCACTTGTGATAATAAAAGTATCTCGGTTCTGTGCCTTTTTTTTTTCTTTCCGTAAGGTCTCCCTAACCCAGAAGCATCATTGTCCTCGTAACAAGAGGAGCATGTTTTAATTCCGTCAAGAATCCCTCGCTGAATGCAACATCATTAGTGTAAGAGGCCCTTGGAGTTGTGAATCACAACGCATGAATGCTAAAAGAACACAGACAATAGGATATCTGGCTAATTTCAGAGTGCAGACATACGCGTGCCTCCACCCGCCAGCACTGCAAGACACTGGGCATGCACACAAGAACACACCAGACATTAAGTACATGCACGCAAACTCACACCCGAGCATAACATGCACACACACACACATACACTTCTCCTGTAACTGCAATGAAAAGGAGAAAAAGACGATGATTCGCTGAAGCTCTGCCGGCAGCAAAACCTATCATATCATATCACACACATCCAAGCATGCAAGGCATCTGTACTGTTATCCTTATATCACCCTGCTAACAGCCTAAAAAGACTCCACGATTAAATACACTCTGTGGTCAAAACGAATGAGTCTGGAGATAAAACTTAGCATGCTTGAAATCAACATGAACATATTATGGGAAAAGAATATTTTTGGAGCTACATGCTCCAGGAGCACTAACAGGTTTTTGGCGTTTTACTGTTATTTTAAAGATCGCACAAAAGGATGATAATTTGAGCATTCATGTGATTTATTTTTATTTTGGGTATGCTGATGGCCCAGCAGTCTAACCGTCTAACCGTGATGTATATATTTCCTGTTTTCTCTCCGCAGTTAATGATTTAAAGAAAAGAAATGCGGAGCGTCCTGGTAGTGTAGCGGTTTAACAGGCTGACCATGTAACCACACGTTCTCAGTTCGGGTCCGGCTCGACAGGTTTATTGCATTTCATCTCCCATCTCTCTCGTCTTATTTCCTGTCTCCACTCCACTATAATAAAAACATAAAAGACCCCAAAAATATATATATATATATATATATATATATATATATATATATATATATATATAAAAAAAATTGTGGTATTATTTCAATCCCTAAAAATTAAGCTAATTATTTTCAAAATACTGTGAATTATGTTCACACTAAATATTCCTATAACCCTAAAAAATGAACTGAAAAACTAGTTTTAATTTTGTTATGAAGGCATCGCCTTTTTTTTTTTTTTAAATTTCATTATTTTCTGTTCCTTTATTCTACAAGGACTAATTAAGCAAACATTCAAAACCAAATCTGTCAATTATCTGTAGTTTTTCCCACTAACACTGTCCACGGAGAACCTTCTTCAACAACACAACTACAAAATGTCAATCTGCAGACCAGGTGTGTATGCTCAGTGACCTGGTTACAGACCTACAAAAACTTCATTACATCCTTAAGCAGTGCCACCAATGTAACTCCTTCTACCTGCGGACATCCGGCTGTCTCCATGAGTAAGCAACGCGCATCACTAAATATCCCACAGGAGGCTCTGTTTCACCGGGCGCTTTCAACACAACTCTGGAGCGGCACGAGGCTGAAATGTCAGCCACGGGCGCGGACAGGGAAGGGCTGTGATCCTAATCATGAGCTAACTGCGAAATTAGGACTTTCGGCTCACAGATTTCCTTGTTTCTAATGATTAGTGATGAGTCACAACACTGCCAAGCACGCACAATTATAAACATCTGCAATCAAGTTAATGAGAGTTGTCACTGAGATAGTGGGTAACGTTTTAGCGTACAATGACAAAATCTGAACTGACAAGCTCGGGAATAAAGGAGGAATGAACAAAAAAAACAACAGAGCAGGTCGTGAAGCAGAAGTTATCCATCATCTAGCTGAAGCGTCCAGTCTGGTCCCTGCTGAGAGGCTCCTCTCTACTGATGCAAAGGAATGCATATCAAATAGCCTGGGAAGCAGCCTGTTGTGCGGGGCACGCTTCTGCACAAATAATCAAACAGAATCTAGAGAATAAAGCTCTGTAAATAACAGCGTTATGCGACACCAGGGCTTCCTTATATCAAATCCCTGACAAAGAGCCGATTCAAAACTTCCCGAGATGTCTCACTGTTAAGACATGAGAGCAGGTGTCCCTGAGAATAAATTAACATATTTGCTGTTGCCCCTTCCAGCTTTTAACTCTCATAGTATTTTCACATGCTGGGGAGGTGGGGGGGGGAGAAATCCTGCAGACCAAGAAGCAGTTCAATTCAAGGGACATGTGTCCAATGCTTTTCCCAACAGCATAATCAGCTCACATTCATCTTGCCGCACAAGCACACATGCACCTGCACGTTCCTTTAAAACCTTTATTACACGCGACAGACGTTTGTCTGTAAAGACGCTGAGCAGTGAGTGTAGAAGTGTCATGAAAAATGGCACTGAGACTAAAGCTAAGCCCTCTTTCTTTTGGATTTAACAAGTGACTATTAGATTTTGGACTCAAATTTTCATTTTCTTTCATTTTCCATTACTCAAGATGCGAAAATGGATTTAAAATATAGTGTAGCAAAAAATGTGTGTAAAACAAATGTGGTGTTGATGGATGTTTTGTGCAGGTTACCTGTGCTGCTCCATGGCCTGCCTGCTGTGCAGCTGAAGCCCACACTCGCCACAGCACTGCTGGCCTTGAGCCTGGCCCTCGTGCCTCATCCCTGCTGCAAACTGGCCCAGCCTGCTGAGGAGCTCCCTGTGCAGCAAGCCTTGGTGCAGGAGGCCGCTGTAGGCCCTCGGGTCCAGCGGCACGCCCAGGGACGGGGCCACTGAAAGAGACACTGGCAGCATCCCCTCCCCAGCGTGGTTGGAGGGCACAGAGTATATGGAGGCCAGATGTTTCTCAGAGATCCCGGGGAAACAGTCGAGGGAGTTCCCCACCACTTGTCCTCCGTCTTCTGGGCCTATGTGCAGCTCCCGAGCGCTGGTGATCACGCTGCCTCTCAGGGGCGTCCCCGGGCCCTCGTCTCTGGGCTGGTCTGACATGCAGCTTCCCTCTCCAGTGCTGGAGGACCTGCCCTCGCAGCCGTTGGCATCATCCACCTGCATGCTCTCTGATTTTATACTTCTGCCAGGATCCAGGATTGAGGCTTGGGATAACTCTGAACTGCCACGCTGAGGCTGCTGGGAGCTCTCCATGTCTACCTCCGTGTCCAACTTGGGGCTCAGTTCAGGAGCCGTCTTGGGCTCTGAGCCAGGAGAGCTCCCCTCCGTCATGTGGTAGAGCGCCAGGTGGTGTAGAGCGGTGGGACTGATGCGGTTGGGTCCATCCTGTATGGAATGCTTCTTGGACATCAACATGTGCCTCCAGTGCCTGGCCCTGCTGTGGTCACTGTGGTCTCCGGAGGTGGGAGTCTTCACCGCCACTTCCTCGCTCTCTTCCGCCTGGATGGTCTCCAGCACCTTCAGGCACTGCTCCTCCAGGTACTCGATCTCCAGGATCTCAGCGGCGTACAACAGGTCATCCAGGTCCTCGGCTGTGGCCTGGAGCGAGGCGGTGTAGGCGTACTCCAGGATCTGCTGGAAGGTCTTGGGGGACAGGAAGTCCAGGGCGTAGCGTAAGCTGCTGCGGTGGAACAAGATCTCGAACATTTTGCTGGTGCAGGCCAGGACGGTGCGGTGCGCCGGGAACTCCTGGCCGTCCACCGTGATGATGACATCACACAAGGTGCCGGTCAGACGCATCTGATTGGCACGCTGCAGAAGCGTGCTGGGGTGAGTGGGATTGTGGAGCTGGAGCACACCCATATTTGTCAGACCCGTATCCACTCGGACCTTTGCTGAGCCCACGCATGAGGTGTGGCTGTCCTGCCTTCTTCACTTGCCTTCAGCTAGTTGTAGGTCTGTGGTTGTGGTTGGTGGAGGGGAAGGGTAGAGGATCGTTAGTGGCTGTCTCACTTTGAATGTGATGCAAAAGACTGTTATTTAAACTCCAGTGTACACTTTCATCCATCATCTATCAATATCAATTTTTGTTTTGAATAAATATTTATCAAAAAATACCAAATTAAAGATATATTATTTGAAATTCAAACCACCACTTGATCTCTTCCGGGGTTTTATTCCATGCGTCCTACAGGTTTATGTATTTTAATTAAGAACCAAAAGCAGACAACAGGTCGATACGCACAAAGCAACAGTTTCCATTGCAGGTGATTAGTCTGAGGTCTCGTTGAGAGCGGTCACGTCGCTGTAATAACGTCTGCATACTGAGAGGTGACGGTTCAATTTATCAACCTCCTCACACACGCGCGCGCACACACACACACGCGCGCGCGCCCGTGTCCTCAACAGGTAGACCCGCTATTAACAAACGCCTTGAAGGGGCTGATTAGTTCATTTAGGCTGCGCACGTTCATGATTAGATACAAAGCAATTACGCCGCTCTGTTAAAAAACCCTAAATAAGTTATAAAACTATCAAATTGATGAACGCATGGTAATGAAGCTCAATCCTCACACAAGCACGTGTATGTTCACCGCATTTAAAGACCTAAATGACTGTCTGAGCGGGTTAAGACTCTGTATGATGATTGTTGTCGGACCACTGAGCAGCACCTCGAGCGATGCTGACAGGCTGCATCCTCAACTAACCGCAACATCAGAGCGCATCAGGTGCACACGCACAAATCCACCTTTATTATTCAAACACATTGCGACAAATGAACCCTCTTCCACGCGCGTATTTACTGTCAGCGCGGTGTTTGAGGGAACGCGCAAATAAAAGACCCTAGTTTATCCAAAACAGTCCAATTTGATGTGTCGAGCATTCTGCGATACTGCTGCGCTGAATCAAGTTTGTAAAAACGCTAAATCGGGCTGCAGTCAAACTTGGAGTCAATTCTACACATGTCTGCTGTAAAGCGATATTACAACCACCCGCTCCAAAACTGACATTATTTCAAATATTCACTCTTAAAATAAGTCAGAGATTGGAAAGTAGTTCATCGGAGCGGAGTCGCCTAAAATGATCAGCATAAAAAATAAAAGTGTCGGCTGTCCCAGTTGTCCTTACCTCTGTCTCCTAACGTCCTCCGCTGATTACCCAGGCAACATCATGGTTACACATTTCACAGTACCCGCTCCAAACTCAGTCCTGCTCCAAGTAAGCAAATCATCACCCAGCCACGACGGTGAAACCAGCGGGGGGAAATCTACACTTCCGAGTACAGCCTTCAAAATAAAACTCGTCTGAAGACCCACGTGTTGAAATGTTTCACGATGACATGCAGTGTTTTTGTTGAGAATAGCAAGAAAGGACCGTGAAATCAAACTGATGAGATGCCCAGCTGATACATAAATAGGTTGCAACCAAACGGGAGGATTTAGTTTTGAATTTTTAAAAGAATTTGGTTTGTGGGAATTTGATAGTCAGATTAAGACTATCAAAATAAAGTGAAGGTGTAGAGTCAAATGGTGTTAATCCACAATAGTATTGTGAAAGCATAATGTTATGTACAGTAGCTGTAATTGCTTCTAGTGTTGGAAAAAAGAAAATAAGGGTTGTGTCCTTAATCCTGGTAGAATAACACCAGAAGTGTTCTGGCAAAAAAAATAGTGTAGAATGTGGGAGCTGTTAGTTGTAACATTATTTGAAATTTCCCATCTTTTAGGTAAGAATAAATAATGCACAATGACGGCAACTTCCTCTGAGTAAAAATTGTAACCGCTGCATTGTGTTTATTATGTAGAACAAGGTGGGTGTTGTCTGCCTCAACACAAACGCTTGTCAAATCTTTAAATCAGACCTTATCCTTAATATGTTGCATTGCTTACCTTCATGTGGACACAAAGTCATATTAGGATGGAAAAATAGGAAAATCCTGTTTCACTAATAGCCTACATTTCTTCTGTTAGGATGGTCACAAGATCTATGTCGAAAATACAGGGACTGAACATGTTTAGAGACACATTTGGAGAACTCACTTGTTGTCTTTGAAGTCAACCAAAAATGTGGGAGGGGTTTCTTTAGTGTGCAAGCAGTGTGTTGAGCAAGTGGGGGAAGGGTAGCAAGAGTGCCATAACTCAATCATGTGTCTGTTTGGAGAATATTAAAATGTTGCAACTAAAACCAGAATTCTGCTTCTGCAATTATTTTGATTTTTGACATTTCAACAGATGGTTAAAATGGGTGGATTTTAGAAATACTATACGGCACACTGGTGACCCAGTGCTTTAAGGCGCTGACCCGTGCGGTCAACTGAGGTCAAGAATGTCAGTCCACAATAATACACACCCATCCCCCTTCAGGCTCCAACTCTTTTCAAATATTTGTTAAACCTTGAATAATTTCTCTGCAACCTATTTTCTTAACAGGAGGGTCTGAATGGTATTTCAGGAATAAAATCCTGGTGGGAAATGCAGTGAATTATTTATTTTTTATTTATTTAATGTTGACTCTAAAGCAGGAAAATGTATTGAGACTGAACTACTGGAACAAGCCTATAAGTTACCCATCATGTGTAAGTTCTAAACTGTAGGATGCAGTAGTGAAATGCAACTGACTACATTGACCTACTTTTGAAATACTTTATCTTGAGTACAGCCATTTAATGGTACTTATACCCTTTTATTCTACCGCAGTTATTTAACAGCTATAGTTTACTGTGAAGAGAGATATTTTACATACAAAACCTTTCGCTTTTGTTTGTTTTTTTTAAATCAAAGACAATTATTTGTGTATAAATTAAACTATAGATTATATGAAAATGAGTTCCACCTGGTCCATTCTTTTTGCATAATAAATAATGACTACTTTTATTGTTGATATATGGCCGCTGATCATACTTATTTACATTTACTTAAGTAACAATACATGTAATGTAGAATTACTATATTTTGGTTAGGAGTGTATATCCGAATATACCAGTATCGTGACTCCTGTGAAAGGGCTATGGTGAAAATCTGACATTGTGACAGCCCTAAAGGTATATTCCTTTGTTTGTGTGAATGACCTACATACTTCTCCCTAAAATACCCAGTCAACATACCGAGGATATTACCTCCATTAGTAGCTACAGCTTTGGAGGAAAATGAATAGATGCTCTTGTAAAAGTGCCACCATGTGATACAGCTCCTGTTGCATTGCTAAACCTACCACTTGTCGCTCTTTACCAGATTTACCCCCCCCCCCCCGTTTACTATGAAGGCCAAAATGACCTGACTTCCTGTATCCTCGCGGCTGCCTACTGCTGACTTGCCTGGCTGCAAAAAGCATCGCCGGGACGACGTCACGGCTCTGAACGATCGCCCTCTGCTCCTCGTCTCTCCATCAACGATGCAATCAGAGACATCTACAGGGCATCTGAACTACTGACGGGGTTGCCAGGTTGGGGGGGGGGGGGGCAGTTTGTTGTCCTGGAATAAGAAGCAGAAACTGTCAAATGCAGATCGGGTATACAGGTCAAATCAGGTTGTATTTCACAGGACAGTCGAGAAATATGAATAAGAGGGGACAGTCGGTCAGCGTAACAGGATGCCGGCTCTGTGCTGACCGCTGTGCTTGTTGACATCGCACCGGGGTTTGGAGGTTCGTGTCACATTAGAAGTACCGAGGGGAGAAATGCCACAGCTGAAAATATCACGCCCTCACCGGTACATAGTATTTTGACATCTTACCCGGGAAGTATTAACTTCACTCCAGCACAAACATGCATTATGTAACACGTGTTTATTTGTTCCCCCGTCTATCTCAACAAGTTGCCCCGGGGACATTTCCAGGCCCAACATAACCTGTTTGCACCGTAACCTTTCTGTAAATAGTCCTGTGCGTCCATGACATGGCGAAAACAAAAGGGGCTCCAAACCAAGTGCTTCACCGCCATCTAGTGGTGAAAACACGTCGCTCCATCGTCTGAATCTAAGGGCACGGTTTCTTAAAAAGTGACTGAAACTAATGACAAAATGGGCCACGACAAAATTAGATTCGGAAACCATTTTTTTATTTTGTAAATTGGGTTATCTCTCAGACTGTACACAACAGATATGTTCTGAGTTGGACCCAATAAAACCAAAAGGAGCGTCCAGTGACGAGGGAGCAGGGCGGTCAGGTAACAGCAGTGGAGTACAAGGTGAGTAAAGCTCCTCACTTCTCTCGACATCTATTATCTAAAGCTTTTTTAAATTCAAAAACAAGTGTAATCTCCTGTTTCAGGTGGGACCAGCCTGCTTCCTGTCAGTGTTCATCCTGAACTCGTCAAGCACTTGCTCTCGGTGAGTGATTTTTGTACAAAAAGACAAAAACTAGAAAAAGAAATTCAAAGACCACATTACAGAACACTTGAATAACAACTGGGGGGTGGGGGGAGATAAATAAAAAACAATGTGTAATAATGCCGGAACAAGCCCCAAATGTAACACTCATTGAATCAATATGAGAAGTATTTCCCCCAAACAAACAATGGTCTATCTGCCTTGTAGTTTTACGTTATAAAGTACCGACTGAATTCATGCCAAGGCTCAAAACATCTTCCTTCACTATAGCTGCTGTGACCAGACACGGACAGTTTCATACACTACACGTGTTATAATGACCACATTAGTCCATTTATCATACGTTTCTTCTAATAATACAATATATTAAATAAAAAGAATAGGCTAAATCTCTCACGACAAAGCTATGCAGGTTATCATAGAAACTGATGACAAGACAATCTATCGACACACACAGGCACAGTGCACAAGCTTGCAGGCAGGAAATGGAAAAGAAATCTTTGCAGTTTTTAAATAGTACAAAATGCTTTTTAGAGTTTTCATTCATTTTTCTGCTTCAAAAGCACAACTCAAAAGTACGAAAGCCAGACCTTTGATCTGCTTTAATGTGAGGAAGAAACGGTCGCTATCGGAGCCATTTCCCCCCCCCCACAAAACAATAAGAGTCGTAAATGTAGCTCAAGATCTGAAGGTTCACGGTTCCTCAACCCTTGGCTGAGAATCAACAGTTCTGCTGGCAGTTTGTTCTTTTTGAGGAATTTGTCTTTCTTTTATTAAATACATGTTATTAATGAATACCATCACTGTGGTAAGGCAGAGACAGACGGAGTATATTAGATCATAAAATGGGCCAAATCTGATCGGATCATGCTGTTGATGTGTTGTGGGATTCTCTCTCCATCTCTTTCCCCCTGCAGCTGGCTGTGGGTTAATCCTGTATCTTTCACAACCATAGCAAATATGGTTATAGCCCAAAACATTGAAGTCTGTTTTAATCAATGCTAGCGTATCTGTGAGAGATGAAACATCCCTGTAGGAGACGAAGTGAAACAATAAACCTTGTAAACTAAACTTTACCACCACTTGCAGGTCAGACATGCAGAACAAGCGATTAAATGAGACACGCCTGCAAATTAAGAGCCCAAACTAAAAGAAATGCAAACAGTTTTACATTTGAACAGTAGAACATGAAAATAAGAAAAATAATTTCTATATATAGTCAGGGTTTTTCTTAATTTTTCTTTTCACATTTCTCATAATAATCCAAAACTTGTGCGCAACTGCAATTCAAACTAAAAGCACGGAACAGAAAGTAGAGTCTAATTTCATGTATTTACCAAGCGATCATGAGAATAAGAGATTGTCCTTAATCGTCCTGACGGGTTAAATAAAACAACAATAAAAAAATAAAATAAACCTCTTTCGATCTAAAGATAAACTTCTCGGGTGTAGTAAACATTTTTTATGAATGAAACCAGAACTGAAAGTACCGTCAAAGTGCGCTCTAACCGATCAATACATGTGTTGTTTTGAATGTGTAGTTAAGGGCACCGGAAATCAAAACTCCTGCAGTGTGTTTCTCGCTCGTTGCTGCTGCAAAATGTTTTGTGTCGGGTTGGGGTTTCCCCGGCCCATCATGCTTTGCTCTCAGTGGTATTTGTCTGTATGACACTGTTGTGTTCTGCAGCGATCTCCGTCAGGGCGTTTGATAAGTCTGCCTCCTGCAGTTTCCCTTTATCATCAGAAAAAATACTCCTGCAATAGAAACAAAGGTAGGAGTGCAAAATTAGAAATCTGGTCACCTCTGGGTAGAAAACAAAAAATATCAGCAAACGACGACACCTTCACCCAATATGTAAGAAGACAATGTTTGTGTTTAGAGGTCTTCTTACATATTTCTTCACCACCAACAGTCAGATAAAATCAAATACACAGATTATGACGTAACCGTATCGTCGACTACCCTTCCTGATCCAAAACAGTGTTGAGCAAATATGAACTATTTATCAGTTCTACTTCAAAGAGACTAGGACGGCACAGTGAAGGAGCCCTGTGCTGGTGGTGTGAGACATCCATGTGAAGCTCAGGATCTAGGTCCTGCTGCCTGCAGCTCTTTTCCTCTCTTCTGCAGTTCAGAGCAGGAAAACACCGGCTAAACTTTAGTCGAGCTGGTAACCATTCAGGTAACGCTCAGAGGCATTCAGTTACTGCCTGAGACAACGAAGCCCCTTTCAGACATGAACAATGAAACATTACTGGATTCATCTACCCGGTTAAGTGATACTGTTTTATCCTTCAGATATAGGTGTTCGTTACGGCTTAATTCAGACAGGACAGGAGTGTTAAGGAAAAAACACACAGCTTGTGCGATATTGCCATCTGGTGCTCACGAGAGGTAGTAGTGGCACCACCGAGCAGGAGAGCAATGATATGCATTTAATTTCTCTCTGCGTGTTAGACTTTGCAGCTGCAACAGTAACGCGCTACGCTGGAATAGAAGTAGTTCTGTCACACTCGTTGAGGGCGAGACGGGATAATCAAATAAATCATATCGCTGCACACTTTCAGACCAGTCTCTGCTGGAAGGTATTTATAGCGATGCACACATTTGTAAAGACAAAAAGTGACAGAGATAGTTGTGTAACAAACGAAAGTGAGCTTGAAAGGCGAGGCAAGTTGAAAGAGAAAAAGTTCAAACCCCGCTTGCTTTCTCCCCTCTGCATGTTGGATTGTCAGTTTCGATTGGTTTGTCGGAAAGATGTCTGTTTGGGGGGGGGTTTGAAGCTGTTGAACTAAAGTGCCTGTCAGAGTGTTGAAGCACACTGGCAGCTTTAATCTGACAACATTCAATGCAGACTTGTCAAAGGTTGCCGGGCTCGTAATAGTGTCTTTGTGACTTTGAGACAGACGTGTAAAATTGCTTCTCATTCATGTAACAAGGTGCATGTCTGAAAGGGACCGAGCTACTCTACTGGGGAATGTTGCACAAAGCGGAGACTGTTACACACACAAGCAGAAAAATACAGAACCATCATACCGCTCGTCTATCACGATCCACAACATCTTACTAATAACTCACCCAGTGTCATTACCACAGTTTACCATTACAATATTTCATATTGTGTGGTCAATGGCAAGATGCGGTGGTGAATGAATGGGCGTACAAGTTACAAGCACACACTCACACAAACACACAGATAAACCTCTAGAGGGAGCCGTACTCATCGTTGACAGGAGGAGCAGTCTTGGCCAGAGTCTCTGACGCCTCCAGAACTGGGCCAGAGGGGGGGAGGTCTGCTCCGTCTCCATTGGGCAGAGAGGGGGCAGAGGGCAGGCTCTCTAAGCTAATAAGGTATGCGGGAGGCGAGGAGGGTCTTTCTGTCCCGTTTGTCAGCTCTAACTCTACATCTGCGCTTATGGGCCCCACGTCAGGGGTTAGTAAATTGTACCTGTTGGACAGCGATGTGAAGAGATCATTTGAAACCGGCGCCACAACACTGGAGGGAGTAGAAGAAATATGAGCGACAGGTAACGGAGAGGGGACGTCTGCAACTAGAGGGGCAGGTTCGTCAGCATCCAGGGCTTTAAGAGCACCGTGGATCACTGAAGGAGAGCTAGTTGCAGCATCTTTGGCAGTGTTATCATCAACAGTTTGCTCAGCAGGTTTATTTGGAGTGTCAAAGGCAGTTAGGCTACTCCCACTCGGGTCTGAGGCAGTTGTATCTGGATCAGGGTCTGCTTTTGGAGGGGCAGTGGTCGCTAGAGTGGCGGCAGTGTGCGCTGGCGTCTCGGTGTCTGAGGCTACGGTGTGTTGCTGTATGGGAAGCTTGTTGACAGGCGGCCTCGGAGCACGTTTCTTGGTGTCAAGTGTAGGTGAGGATGATGAGGAAGATGCGGCCAGTGGAGATACAGGCGGGCTACCTTTAGCATTCAGAGCTGCAAATTTAGGAGAGTGTCTACGCTTCGGTGGTATCGGCGTCCCAGATTTTTGAGCTGTAGTCCCTTCAGGGGTACAAGCAGGATCGGGTATTTTCTCCGGTTCTTCCGGGTTGTTACTTCCTCTCTGTTCTACTAACGGGGCCATTTTAGCTTCGATGGCAGAGGTGGAGATGAGGGGAGTCGGAGGGGCCGTGTTCGACTCTGGAGTCGGGGCCGGAGCCAGGACAAGGGTGGGCGAGGGGTCGTTGGCTGGGGTGGACAGACTAAAAGTGAGGGTAGTGGTCTCGCTAGAGGGGCTGTCCTGAGCGGGGTCAATTGTTGCAGTGGCTGTGTCAGAGTTGGTGGCTACGGAGGAGAGGGTGTCCAGTGCCAGAGCAGCAGTGTAAGCCGCCAGCCTGAGAGAGCAGGGAGAGAACAGAGACACACAGACTAGACACCAGGGTGACTGTGACAGAGGAAGGGTGGCCTCGGACGAGAGCATGCAGAGGGATTAGTCGGCTTTAGAAATTCACACGTACATCGACAAAGCAACTAAAAAACAGAAACTTTTAAGCCCAGCGAGAAAAAGAAACAAAAGAAAAAGAGGGCGTCATGCTGTGAGTGGACATCGAAGGTTACATCCCATACACACATCAACATGGAGTACACTGACTCGGACAACTAATGTACAAAAATGCTCTTGCCGAAAACTACAGAACCACGCAGTACCACCTATAAAGGGTTAAACAGTACCAGTGACAATCTCATACGGTATCATCTAATTCCTCCAGACTGCTGATAATGAGAGATGGCTTGCTGAGGTTGTCAAACGGCTTCATATGAGTTGACCACACTGAAGAGGACAAAGAGCCTTTCTGTGTCTTTAACTGGTATTGCTTCAACCTTGATACAATGAGACAGAAAATCTCCAACGGCTGGAGAAGAAACACAAAGTGCAGTGATCCCTCTGACGGGGAATAAAAACAGAAAAGCAACACGGCTCAGTGGACTCCACCCAAGAATGACCTGAACTTTGTTAAAGAGTTTCAAATTTTGTCCTGTTGAATAAGATAATTATTCTTTGAAGTGGAGTGCATTGTACAACAGCTAGAGAGACTTGAGCGGTAAAAAGGCTTTGGGCTGTACGTCGGTTTCTACTCACTCTGGCTCTGTGAGAGGTGTGGTTTCATTGGGTTCCGTCGGTCCTGCCGCGTTGTGATTGGCTGTGCACTCGTCCTCTGTTCTGACTTCCACTATTGGCTCCTTGGACTCATCTTTCCTGCAGGACACAGAGAGGCATTACCCTGTTAAATGGCAACAGATTACCTCATAGGACAGTCATCATGTCCGCCACAATGAGCAGCGAGAAGAGGTGATACAAGAGAAGAAGTAGACGGTAATTATGTCAACACAGACTGTGAGTGGATTATCTTTTCAACTTAGCCACAGTCTGAATATTCGAGTTTGCTACAAGTACAGGAGGCTGTGCTGCATGTAGCACAAATCAATACACAGGGAAACTTTCCACTCAAATTGATTTTATACTGCCTTATTGTGCACAAGGGAGTACATGTTCAATGCACTTAAACCCAGCATCCTCTATATTTTGACTGAAAGAGGGACTCCACTCTTAAAACGTCATCTCATTTATGTGCTCTTTTCTTTGATTTGGTTGTTTTTTTTCCTGTTCCTGTGGATTCTGATTGAGTGGACCATAATGCACTGCAGTCGCAAGATGTTGATTTTGCTCAAGAGGCACAATGTTTTTTTCTTTAATGGAAAACCCTTCTCCAGTTAGCTCTTGCGTTATCAGCCTCAACATAAAAACTTCAGCTCAGATTCTTCATCTTCTTCACTGTCGGCCCTTAAAGGCCTTCTGGGGAATGTAGGAAGTCACTGATTGAAATGGAAGTACAGTAGACGAAGCAGACAAAATGTAAACAACAAAACTTGATAAAAACAATGCCTGGAATACATTTAACGTCACTCAGAACAGCTCAAAAAGCATCACTTTGTTTTTTCACAAGTCTGTCAATAATCATCTACATTTTGTCATTCTTCAAACCTGGAATTTCTTTACTTTGAACTAAGATGTTTTGGCTACTTGGGGCAGTGCAACAAGCTGTAAGCACAACACCAACAGCTGCCTCCACATCCAGCAGACACTTAGACACCCAATGAACACAAGTCTTACGCCCCTTTTCCACCTGCTAATAATATATGATCTTTATCTGGAAATATTATGTGCAGGGTGGATTAATTTCTTAATGCAGTCACGATCAACAGATTGCATTTCCAGCTGGCTTCGATCCCGTCACAATGTCGCTGCTGATTCTAAAAGCAATGCATTCTGTGTGCATTAGGACAGCCATGTTTAAACAGGGTGCAGTGTTCACTCTCCTTAAAGCTGTGTTTTAGTCTCATTACATTACAGCCATTTAGCCGACGCTTTTATCCGAAGCGACTTACAATTCAGATTCTATCACATTCGTACACGTAGGCACAGCTACGGGAGCAATTTTTGGGGTTAAGTGTCTTGCTCAAGGACACATCGACATGCGATTCTCGGAGCCGGGGATCGAACCTCCGATCGAAGGACGGCCCTGCTCTCCACTTAGCCACAGTCGCCACAGTCTCCACTAACTCTTCAGCTGCTAAATGCTCCAATATTTTCACCACGTATTTGCTATTTTTGTCTGTCTGGCGTTTGGTGCTGGGCAGGTTAGCGTACAGTTTGTTTATGAGAGCTTTTTTTTTTGCTGAAAACAGCTGCCGGCTGCGACTGGAAACCACGCGGATGACATCAGTTACACTGAAACAATGCAGTAAAATTTCGGGCTGCAAAAACAAAACAGTTATCAGAACGATACCAAAAAAAAACCTGAGGTGGAGCTGAGGGGAACAGCAGAGTGTGGTGATTATTCTCAGTGTTTGTAATTACAACTGATCCATTTATCAAATGACACAGTCAACTGATCCATTGTTAATGAAGAAATGTTATCAGCAACTTTAACAACCTCTCAGTTGCCAGTTTGTGAAAATAAATTGCATTTAAAAAGAGATTAAAAAAGAAAACTGTGCCCTCCAGTATAACTGAACTCTGAATCTGGCCAATGGTAACGGTCACTGTTTAATAGATTGATCAGCACGCAAACTGTTGTCACTGATACTCACATGAAGGCTGCCTTGCCCTCCTCCGCGTTGTGCCCTTTGGTCCCCGTGCCCGATTTACCGCAGAGGCACATGATGAGGCCACATTTGTTGACAAAGTAACAGGTGACGTCCACAGCTAGCAGCAGGAGTAGAAATACTACGACAAGGATCCCTGCCCAGAGCATGACGCCCATGGAGAGCGCTGCCTCCTCACCCAGATCTGCCACACAAGAGACAAGAGGGGGAGCTGAACAACTGGAGCGTGACGCAGTTCCATAGAAACAGCCAGGAACAACTCAATAAATAAAAGTGCAGCTATGCTACTGTAAGCACAAATACTTCCATAAAACAGAAACAACTCACCTGTTACGAGCACCGATACCTTCTAGTTGTCTCGGCATCAATTAGATGCAGTGTGATGTTTGTGTAGACTGTGCTGAATGACTAGTGTTATTTTATGGCGTTAAAAACACACAAAGAAATATATATAAATATATATATTCATCCAATTTATTTGGTATTAGAAAGAAGAGCAAACCAAAGTGTACACTGCGTTGCTAGTTACCCAGAAATACAGAATATTTCATGGACAACATGAACGTGAGGCTTTTCTTAATATCACAAAAGGCTATGATGCGTCTTTACTGTTTGTGTAAAGTCAGCTCTCTAAAAGATCCTCTCTGTTTCTAGATACAACTCTTTAGACACCAATAATTAATCAGCCGAGTAAAGCACCCTCCAATATAAATGTATAAAAACAGGTATTTGTTGAATTATATTTGATACAATTACATGCATGAGAAATATCTGGACATTTGTCTTAGTAAACATCATAAAAATAACAGTTTTCTTTTGATAATTCCAATATTGTTATTACAAACATTTTTCAGTTAAGTGTTTCTGTTTTTAATAATGTAAACATCAATGTTACAAACCGTTACAGTACATTTTGTGAGCGATTAAAGGATAGAATAGTATTTATGTAAACGGCCAGGCCCAGCTCTCAGCCTTCATTCTGTTCTAAGTGCTGTTTATTCTAATATAACCTCATTTCAATTCCACTATTGTTCGTTACTGTAAACTGGCAGTCCTCTCTGTTGTCTAGTGCTGAGCTGTTCAAATGGTGAGCAAGGTGAATGTGTGGGAGGCCGAGGATTTCCACTGCCTTTGGTTCAGCATGTCTGTCTGGTCTGTTCTGAAGCCAAAACGGCACCGTTAACGGAGACACGTCTGTCATAGACAAAGTCTGTTTTTAAGAGTGAAAGCGTTTAAAGAGACAAGCCAGGCCAGAGAAAGGCGAGCTCTCTACAGTTATGGAGTGAGTTCCCTCCACGACAACTATGAGAGCAGGAATACAGTGATGAGGGACACGATGAGTGATACCAAAGTGGATGTCACAGATGAACAGCCCTGTTTGGCTGAGGGGGGGGGGCAGCACAACCCCCGACCACAGCATAATGCACACAGGGCGAGACGGAAATGTTCACGTGGTCCACCCCACCAATGTCCAGAACCGGGCAAGAGAGCAGGAACATTGAGAGAGGGGGGGTCAAAAAAGAGAAAGGGAGAGAGAGTACAGGACAGAAGGAGGGGGGGGAATGAAGGGAAACAAAGAGGAAAAAAGAGAAGGGTGGGGAAAACAAGAGGAAGAAGAGAAGTGAAAATGTGTCAAAAGTGAAAAAAAAGAAACTGATTTCTTGTATTGAGGGAGGGGGAAAAAATACAGCAACACATCAAAGCAAAAGCACAGCACGAAGGGGAAAACTACACCGTGTGGACTAGATGGTGACTCGTCGGTGGGTGAGTGGAAAATGCTTTAGATTGGAAAATGAATTAGAAAAGAAGAAGTGAGAGGAAGACATAACGCTCTGTGGCGATGTTTCAGCAAAGCACTCGGCAGTGTCTAGCACCTAAAGGGAATCTGACAAGCTGTGAGTTTGTTTGTTTTTGTGTGCGAATGGTAGGAACCTTCAGCTGCAGTTAAGCCCTCGAGGTACAAGTTAATCAGTGGTTATCGAGGATCAATTTAAAGGCTGCTTCCACACAGGGACAAACTATCCACTCTAGCTGCTTATTTTAGCAGTAAAGAAAGCTAAAGGGAAACTACTGTCGTTTCACCCTCCGTGGATGGAGCCTGTCCCAGTTCTGCGAGCGCAAACTCAAGCTCCTTTAGCAAGGCCTGTCAAAACTTTAAAGTGTAGAAATTCAGCCGGAAAATCATTTCTGGCTCACCCGCCGTCCAGGAAATCACATTTTTCCTGTAGATTTATTTAGTTGCCATTCACCTTTCAGAGCTAGAGAGTTGAAAATAGAATGTCACACTCTGGTGCTTGGAGCTTTGAGTTTGGCTCCGCAGTGTTCTGGCTGTTTAGTTCCAGTTTAGTGCGAGTGACCTGAGGGAGGGTACCTGGGATGGCGTCGGGCTCTGTGGTCGTCCTGAAGGTCATGGTAGCTGGCTGGGACTTGCCCTTCTGATTCTCTGCCACCACCAAGACATTGTACTCTGTGTCCCACTCCAACCCGCTGAGAACCACGTAGTCGCTGCCGCTGGGCAGACAGATTTCTGGTTTCCACTCCGACACCTGTATCTAAGGACACACAGAGATATGTACAGTGCTTTTAGGGCTGACACTAACGATTATTCTCATTATCGATCCATCGGCAGTTTATTCTCTTGAGTAATTGATTTTAAATCCCACTGTGACGTTTTCAAAGTTTGCTATGATGTAAGAAAAGGAAAAGCTTCTAAATTCTCACATTTGTGATGCTTGAGCTATCAAAATGTTTGGCTTAATGGATTCATCAATTATCGAAGTAGTTGCCAATTAATTTTCTGTTAAATTCACCTATTCATTTATCACCTAATTGTTTCAGCTCTACATGCATTATCATTAAGGCTTGAACATAACAGAATTAGAAAACATTTTTATATTTTAAATAATGTTTTTTAAGATGTCAGAACTATGGACCATCATTAGAATTCCAGGCGTTGCTGAGATATCGCGTTCACCGGAAAATGGGACGCACGGACGGACAACCCGAAAACATAATACAGTGGCATTTTGCTTTAAAACCTTTTATTAGCTTCAGTTGATGAGGACTAATCATTTGGGCTCTAATCACTAATACTCACTGGTTTATAGCGGACCAGATAATGTAAAATGGGCGAGCCGCCGTCGTCCTGCTTGATCCAGCGGACTCTGAGAGAGTTGCCTTTGGGTTGAAGTAGCCCTTCGAGTTTAGGAGGATTGGGATTCCCTACAGGCACACAGGAGCAAGTTAGATGTTATTTAAAGTCTCACTGAAAAGATGCAGAGAGCGACAGGGTTATTGTATTGGAGGAAGATTCTATCAGTCCACCAGCACCTTTAAAATATATAGCAAAGAAAAACCAAAACTTTGATTAGAAATAAAAGTCACAACTTTGAAAATGGCCTCTTTGTTGTCATCCATTTAAGTCACTTGCCCTTCCTTAATTGCCAGCCGCAAGATGGTATGTCTCAAGTCTAAGACTAATTACCAAATGACACACAGCCACATGCTTATCTGATTCAGTCCAAGTTGCTGAGTGACATTCAGCCAGTGTCATACAAGGCTTCAGGGTAAGATCTGCATTTAACAGCACAATAAAGAGATTTATCTATAAAGATAACCACAAGGTGGAATGTTTTCAGCATCTCAAACTTATTTCCACAATCAATGTTTAAACACAAATAACACAAAACAATTAAGTCAAATAGAAATGTAAGACAATTGATTAATTGATCTAATCGTTCGTTTTTTGTATCCACTACAGACAGAGTGTCTGATTGGGCTTATCTGGCTTGTGGAGTTCCTCAGGGATCAATGATGTCCAGCTTTATGTATCTGTAAAATCTGGGAAACTTTCATATTTCAAATTTGGCTAAATTTGTCTGAATGAGATCAGTGCATGGACGTCTCCTCATTACCTGCAGTGAGTTCTCGCCCCAAATCAGACTTGAAATGTTGCGTCAGCATTTACTAAAGGCTTCTAACTAAAAGTTGGTTGACTTAGGGGGTCATTTTTTCATTCCAAATTGAACTCTGAGAAACATATCAAGTCAGTTATTTAGTCTTGTTATAGTTTAAATAAACAAACATTGCCATAGAATGGCGCCTCTTATTTCCACTTTGAAGGAATCATCCATTGTTTGTCTGCTCGCGTCTCAACCATTGTAATGCACCTTATTCTTTTTTAAGCCAAGAAGCTGTAGCCCGTCTACAATACGTTTACATTATTACTAACTAAGGTAAGTGCTGTAATCAAAATCTTACCAATTATTTGGAAAGTGTTTCACAGTTTGGCTCCATGTGGCTCTCCTTCTGGCGGTCAGATTATCAAACTCTTTAAAGACTTATTTTTAAAAAGTAAAAAAAAGACACTCTTTGCCCTGATTTGTATTATTCTTTAACAATCTTTTCTTTTTCTTTTTGAACCCTGGCTTAGAAAAACGCTACATAAATAAAGTATGAATTACGAACAGACAACAAGAAAGAGGTTTTGAATGGTTATTCTTCATACTCTGAAAAGTCAGATTGCCTTGAAAACCCTGGTAAAATCAGTCCAGGTTAGTTATTAGCCTTTAATGCAGCCTCAGGTTAAACATGATAAACAACATGGAGGATACGATGCACAGGGTAGTTATTGCTCTCAGCATGAATACTACAAACTCTTGATTGAGAACCAGAACAAACTGCTGATAAGAGGCAGTATTTCTGCAGCTATGTGGTGTAGAGACACTGATAATGATTCTCCTATGAGCAGAGGAAACGCTGTTTGTTTCACACTTGATTTATAGGAACACATCCGAAAAGGAGGAGCGGTAACATCCCTTTAGGTAGCGTGCTATCAACACCATCATAGTGATGCTGATATTAAACACTCTTGACTGTTATATATTACCATGAAGACAGATCTGGCTCTCTCTCATTTATCCTGCTGAGGCAAATGTCTACATGACTGATTAATGGGATTGAGGGAGACGTATATTACATGATTGCATAGAAGCAATTAATGTGTTGTTTAACTGTGGGATTCTCCGACTAAAGTGAGGGGTCTTCTGCAACAATAGGTTACCTTCTGCAGAACGGAGTGGGACCATCAGAACCATGAGATCCGAATAACAGTAACATGAAATGACACGTGTGAGAGGTTGAAAGAGGAAGGAGGACATGAAAGACAGAACAACAAAAAAAAAAACGTAAATGACTTGGAAACTAAAAGAGAAAGATGTGGAGTCACAACACAGCTCTTCCTACTAATAAAGACAAAATCCCTCTGCTGGGTTCTCAATGTGAAAAGTGCAGTAGACATCTAACAGCCTTGTCCTCTTGACTTTAGAGACTTTATCATTTGAAAGGAAACTGATTGATCAATGCTGAAGGACCTAATCCAAATGTAAACATTCCCAAATTACACCAAATAGCTTGAGCCAGAGGGGAAACGTGCAGCTTTTCAAATGCAGAGTTTGGCGTTAAGTCATAACATTGGCATTGAGTGAATTAATTTACAAGGTGCAAATCAAAATGATATTAATATTCATATTTGGACAACTCAGCTGTCAAGTCAAAGAATGTGAGTGAGATAAAAGCATCCAGGTTACAGACACAGAAGAGTTTGCATTTATAATCAGGCCACACAAGGTCACAGTTTCTAGGAAAAGATACATGTGCTTTGCTTTAAAGTCGTTATAAATGCAGCTAATCAGTCGGGGTGAGGGGATTATCCTGCAGGGACAGACACAGCTAAGGTAGTAAAAACTACTCATCTATTATCCTCTCTACAGAACAAACCTGTGTCTTCAGTGAAAAAAGGAAAAGTGCCGTCTAGGGACATAAAAGAGAAGATATCAGGCAATCAGAATCAGTTGTCTGCACAAATGACTACCTGTGTCTCTGTAATAACACTTCACTGGAGAGTTTAGTGAGACACATTCCTGCCAGACTGCACCAGAGGAGCAAGGAGAAACAAAACATTTCATATAATGATTTCCACATTTAAGGTTAGAAACGAGACGAGTCTGCACACATGAAACTGAAAGGCTGTTCTGAGACAGCTTCAAAACCAAGTGAAAGGGGTTTTTCTTTTCATGAAATTGTATTTCAAGAAAGATACTGCAGCTGTTCTAATTAGTTTTAAATGATCAATTCAACGGACATCAAACAATCTTCAGTGTAAGAAGCTGCTATTTCAAAATGTAAAAACACTTGATTGGGCCTCCTGTCTTTAGTCCCCAATTAGCAATTAATGAAACATCAACCAGAAATATTTTAAGTCAAGAAATAATACAAAACAGACACTGATTGGTTGACTTGGCAATGGCTTTGGATGTCAATACCAGAGAGACAGTTGGGTTCAAACAAAGCCCAGACAATGCTCTAAAAGCACAATAATGAAAAATAAACTAATCGTGAAAATATTCATCATGATGTGTCGATTATTAACAGAGAAGCTATTTTATTCAGACATTTCTCCAATTTGATACTGATGAGCAGCACTTTAAACCACCTCATACACAGAACTGAACAAACAGAGATGAAGCACTTACTTTTGTAAGTGTAGCCTGATGGTTTACAACAGACAGATGAGCAAATGGATGAAAAAATAGATGATTAAAATGATGAAACGAACATATGAGGAAGCTGATCAGCGTGTGGACAACAATGAATAATTTCCAAAATATTCAATATGGAGCCAACCGGGTGGTGCAGTTTCTCTTCCAAAAACATCTATCCCCAACCAACAGAGGGAGCTAAACACTAAACAATGCGTTCGGGATTCACTACAAGGCTGTTTTTTAAAAGGACTGAGGGATAATTCTCTGTTTCATATTCCAATTCATAGTTTGCAAGCATGCTATGAGCTTATTAAAATACTATAAAAGTGTGGATTTGTAATGATTGTGTGACCGGATCCAAGTGCAGCCTATGTGATGGAAACAGTCTCAATGCTAAAGTGTGTGTGTGTGTGTGTGTGTTGCTGTCCAGCAGCTGACTACACTTCATTGAGTTTTTATAGATCAGCTATGGGATTGACAAGCACTTCCCACTCCCAAGACCTAGAAGAGAGGACTTCAGGTAATGTGTTTGTGGAGACGGGGGAGGGGGGGGGGGGGGGAAAAGCTCTACACCGTGCTTTAAACTGAGCAACATGCGCCACTTACGGACAGGCTGCGTCTTGAAGAACTCAGCAGGGCTGCTTTCACCTTCACCCTTGCCGTTGATGGCTGACAGCTTCACTTCGTAGCCGGTCTCTGGATTCAGGCCTGTGATAGTCGCCTCACTGGTGTATCCTGTTACAATATATCAGAGGCAGGGCAATCCCTGTTGAGAACACCTTCATAATTGTGATTAGTTGTGAAACAAACACACCCCCAGTTCAAACAATACATGCATAATTAATTCCATCACGAGTAAACAGCGATTAGCTCAAATCTCGTTTCATTCCGACAATGTTTAAACAGATAAATCTATTTAGCGTTGGTGTAAAAGGTCGAAACACAGCATACACAGAAACAGAAATAACTGACAGCTGTTTCAAAGCCACCATCATGATGTACAGATGACTTTCTTTCCTCTTGTCATTGTCTATTTGTCTTGTGTTACACTAGGAATAAAAGTTCTTTCATTCAGGGTGATCTGCACTTTTATAGAAATCAAATGTAACACCCTTCCTACAGCAGAACAAATCTATAAGTAAATACATTTAAAATGAAACATATCTCATGCAATGAACTGTGTTCAAATGTTACGCTTTACATGAAACTAAAACCTTCACACGTATAAAACAAAACCTTAAATAACTAATTTTGTTCATTACAATTTGCTTAAAAAAACCCATCTTTTTTGGATTTGCTTTGTGTTCTTACCATCTTGGACTTCATAGACGTGCTGCACCCAGCTGCCCCTCTCCTGAGGAGCCCTCCACTCCGCTCTGTACTTCAGGACGGTAACACCTCCGGTGGATTCTGGCTCCTCAAACTGGATCAGTGCCGTGGTGGAGAAAGGTCTCACCTCACTGATGGATGGAGCCGATGGCACCTCTGGTTAAAGGGAGGAAATGTACAGCGATTGCAAATAAAACTGAGATTGCAGCACGCCGACGCTGTCAGACTCCATTGTTCCATCGCACTAACAGACCGAGCTCACCAACAGTCCAAAAGGCTTCAGCTTTGTAAGACATGTACTCTTTGTGACATGAATGCCATTTCTCAGACACCGAATGCTGCAACTCTTTTACATTACCTCAGAAAATAACAGTAAAGACATCCAAATGTTACTATGACAAGTAGCAGCTGATCTCAAGTCCGCCTTAAATGATGATAATTAAACAAAGAAAACCACAGACCTTTAAAAAAAAGCAAAACCTTGAGAGATTGTGATTATGATGAACCTTTCAGCTGGAAAAAGGATTTTTTTGTAGTCAGCTAAGCACAGTGTAATGTTTCAATATAACGGTATTGGTGTTGAAGGAGACAAAAGAATCAAGGCTTTAGTGGTTACTATGCCTTCCTAAAGTTTGTGTTTGTAGAGAGAAAGTCTGGCCTGTAGTTCACATAATCGATTGATGAGTCATTCACTTTCAAGTAAGTCAAGTTTAATGATCAAAACATTGGTTTACCTACCACTGAACTCTCTATTTGAGAGAAAAATGACCATTTAAAGCCCTGAGATTGGCCCTCTCAGAGGACTGGTAGCTGTTCTGAACTCTCACAGATCTGTTTTGACTCACTTTGATCTTGGAAATGAAACGGCACACTGTGATTGCCGGGGTTGCCCTTGTTTTCAACTCATTTACTTGAGGCTTAAGAGTGCATTATCTCTCTGCTCTCTGTACCATTTGTCTAATGTGTTGTTGAAGTCTTTGGTATCAGCTGGTGGTGAGTTGATGTTACAGTGAAATGTTGTAACTTTGATAAATTGTCTTTTAATTCATAATACACCCACTATCCCTTGGATGTGCACGATAATATATTCTGTTTTAACACTAAGTGAAATCCTCAGAGCCGCAGTAGTTTCTAAACATCCGGAGAGAAGGAACGTTAAATCATCAGATGCTGGCTACATCGCCTTTTCATCTAAATCTATTATCCGTGTAAACAAACACTGCTCCATGTAATCTCACAATAAGGTAGATGTTTTGGTCCAAAACTGTTCCTGGAACCAAGAAAAGCCTTGTAATTTAGTGTATGCGCTACAATGAAATTGTCTCCTGATTATGTGTTTGTCAACACTAAAAACCAATGTCCTTAAGCATTCAGAGAAAGTGTACACCCTGCATATCATGAGTCATCCTTTAAACAGCACGATTAAATCCAAAATCACAGAATCACCGCTGACCGGCCTGAATGAGCAGGAACTCCTTGGACTCGGTGCCGATCTCATTTGAAGCAGTGCAGTTATAGCTCCCAAAGTCATTTTCAGACTCGGGGGTTATCTGGAGGAGAAAAACAAAATATATGAAGGGCAGTGTACCAAAACAGATGAACAAATGTGTGTGTCAAACACTCGGAAGGTGACCTTTTTGTTTGTCCATTAGAGTAGCCTATTTTTATTTGTTGCTGTGAGCTTTCCTGCTGCTGAATTATTCATCAGATTTTTTTTTTTCCCCACAATGGAGCTGAAAGAAAACCTCTTCACTTCAAGTCTATGCTCATGAAATCTTGATGAAGCAAGGGGTACGCGCGTGTGATTGTGCGTGCGTGTGCACATTTACTTCGTGAACTGTAATTTGTGGATTGAAACGCACGCGTGTGTGTGTGTGTACCTGCAGGTAGCTGGCTGATGGACTTCTGAAGATCTTAATGTTGGTGGTGTTTGAGTTGGGGAGCTGCAGTCCATCTCTCAGCCACACAATAGACACATCACTGGGATGAGCCTTGACCTCACAGCTGATATTGACAGCGTTTCCCTCCCAGGTGTATACTGCCACTGCACCGTGAATCTTAGGGGCATCTAGGGGAAGACATTCATGTAATTCTGCCACAACGTTTAAGGTTTTGTTGTTTTAACAGTGCCTGAAAAATGTGCCGTTTAAATAAAAGTGAATTCAAAGTGCTCTACGTGATCAAAAATGACTTATTTTTGCTCAGTTAAAAAGGGTGCATGACTAGCAAGTCGCTTTTATTACGGCACTTGTTTTGTAAGCCGAAACACTTACATCAAGAGAGAAGGAAATACTGTACTCACAGCGGACCTCCAGAATTGCCAGCTGATCATCCTCTCCAATGGCACTGCGTGCTGTGCACAGGTACTGACCCGCGTCTGTATACTTGACATACTTCAGAGTGAGGGAGGACACACGAGCATCACTCCTCACCACTACATTTCCATCCAGGCTCTAAATGGGAGCAGAAAATAGCTTGGTTTAGGAAACAAAACAAAAAACATTCCCATCAGTTTTGTCCCATTACCATATTGCACATTTACACAGAGATCATTTCTGCAAAAAGAAGTGTCACCTGAAAAGAAAAGAAGAAGAAACGACTGAAGAATGCCTGCCTTTAACGACCAGAAGAGACATTACGCTAATGAAAAAGGCACAGTCTGCTCTGTAAAGACGTGGAAACATAAGGACACAGTTGACAGAACAGGGGAACTTATCAATAATAGATGAAAGAAGGACTAGAAACCACCCAGAGCCTTTCACACGGAGAGCTTACCAACTTGTGAAATATGCTGATGCATGAGGCTGGCCAGCAGTGCATTACCTTACATGCCACACTCGCGCTTTTATGTTGAAGACACTTGGGGCTGAAGAGTCACTGCACACAATCAGATGTTTTTTCGTAAAATGACACTTTAAGTTAATGACTTGTGGTGTTTTCTTTTTGGTATCGTACTGTGTGTTGCAATGCTCTCTGAACCCACAACCAGCACGTGCCCCAGTTTCAGTGATGAAGGGCACATGCCGAGTCACATTGCATTCGAAACCAGGGGAACAACAAAAGACAGCTGGCTAATGAGATGTGTGAATGACCTCGCTGCTCTACAGATACCTGGTTTCATTTACTCGATATGCAGAGTTACAACATCCGACCATAAGTGGCTTCCTGACCCGCAGGGTCAACGACTCTTGTGTTGTTGTGGTTGCTGATGTCATGTGACACTAAACTGTGAGTGTACAGTTTCAGACCAAATTTCCCCCGTTGAAGAAACATTTCGTCATAAAAAACGAATTAAAACATGTATTATGCAAGTTCTCAACCTTAATTCTCCTCAAGTGTTTATTAATGCTGCTAATGGCAATATTCAAACTCGGTAAGTCTGAAGATTAGTTCATGGATTTGGGACATTATTTTCTGTATAGTACTCTTTTATACAGTGAGCTTTGGTGTTTTTGTGGATTGTTCTTTTTACAAGGCGCTACATAATTGAATATTTAGGCCTCGCTATTGGTCGCCTTTATGGCTTTGATCCAAGCTGCAGGCAAAACAATGACACGGATGCTTTTACACATATTGAATTAGGGCCCAGTCTGGGCAGCCATGTAAGAGAATCCCTCGCTAGTTTGTATTCAAATTCAATAGACAAAGCATGTCTGGGGCATTCATTATGCATAGCGGATAGCGGGACCGGGGACACACTTACATAACACACTAGCCTTTTATTCTGACCCCTGTGCAGAAAGCCTTCTCCCTTGACCCCTGTTGCACTGCTTCAGACACCTGCATCTGTGCAACATGCCGCACTATGTACCACCTCAAAGTCCTAGTTCGTCAGTATGCATCATTATCGAGTCCTTTTCAATGGTGTGCTACTACTTTTTAAAGAATGTAGCATCAAAATGTCACCAACCAGAAAAAAACACATGGACAGTTTCTTTACAGCGATTCTTTTCCCCATTTGAAGTCCATAACAAATATCATCTAACGGAGGAAAATCATATCTTCACTGTAACTTAATGTTGTGATTCATTAATGTTTTATAACAATGCATTTTCAGTATGAATGCACAATGCAGCACAGTAGTTGTCTATAGGAAACATCCTAGGACCTTCATAACTACAGGTGGTAAAGAGTTAAACATCCTTTATTTGTTGACTTTACTATCTTTATGAAATAGATACAATTCCAAGCAATACTGACTTTTAAACAGAAGCTCCTCTAATACGTGACAGCAGAGCTCTCAAACAGCTTCTGCAGCTTTACCAGCAGAGGAGAGAGACCCTGCTGGAACGTCAGAGCATAAAATTGAGAATGCACTGAGGACATGTTAAACTCGTGTCTCACCAAATCTGAACTGGTCCTGCATACAAATGCGCCCTCCCCTGAATGTACCTTCCCTTCCGTGGCTTGTCAAATGAACACTCAGCTGCCTACGCACTTGCAACAAACATGCTCAGCATGCTCATACTGCCCCGTGCTCATACTCCTCCTCTGTGTGCTGTAATGGGATCTCTTGCAGAGACACACACTGATCAATTCAGAGTGCACTGGTGGATTAATTCCCATATCATTATGTCAGAAAGTGAGAATTATTATTGCGCCATACATTAACGTAAACCAATGCACTTGCAACCTGAAAACACAAATATGCTGCAAATGTGCTGCTGAGGTATAATTTGTGAGGCAACAGTTAACTAAAATATGCTTCGTAAACTAAAGTAGCATGGCATAACTTGCATGATACTTGCTTTTGAAAACTAGGAATCTTACTAGGATAAACTATTTGGGCTTTTTGCACAGCTTCCTTTCTCTGTAAGAGTGTTACTACCTTGTACAGCGTACTACTGCGGATGCACAAAATGTTATTGCAACCGTCACACAAACCTAGTCATTACTGTCAGCACGTGCTTGATATATTTTTTTTATTCTAAACGTTTTGTAATCATAGGTGTTATTATTGAGTGCATGTCAAAATGTCAATACTGACTGATTGTTGGAATCAGCAAATATAAAAAAAACGACCCATTCTAAAACTATTACAGAGAGGCGTAAAAAGGAAAAGACCAATTTGTTTGATGTCCAGAGCTTCCTGCAGATTGAAAATAAAATAGCAGGGCTATTTGAGGAACCAAATGATCTAAAAATACGTATTAATTTCCTTTCAAATGGGACAAAAGTATAAATAACAATGGCAAGCCCAGTATTTGATCTTGCACCTGAAACTGTGATGAGCTAATCATCGACGACACACTTCGTGAGAGCAAACATTTCTGTTCATTTGAAAGCCCAAGTGATGAATCTGTACTGTCCTCTAGTATGGTGCACTCAGCACTAATATTAGAAATGACAAAGTGGTATTTCTCACCAATTTTCTCACGTATGTAAAACACATATTTGAAAGGGAAGTCAATTGGTGCGGCTCTTTCTTTTGACAATTTTCACTTTCTTTCAGGAACAGTGCCTCACTCTGATACTCTGAGCAGCTGCACAAAGACATCTTGCATACATATTCATTTATCTTTGGTCCAACACAGTAAAGCTATAAAAAACAGTTTTTTAAGGTGAAAAAAACATCTTAATGTTAGAAATCAAGAATTGGCATCAGATGGAGAGAGAGCTGGAGACGCTGGTGGGAGAAAAGAGAAATCAGATGTCTTGTATTGACTTATGTTCCTGCAGGTATGTTAAAGGTCTGAAAGGGAGAAAACACACGCTCAAGTAGACTACTGCATGTTAAGTTTATATGTAAACCAAACATGTAAAACAAAGAGATACGGACAGACGGGGGCCCCCTTGGCATCTTTGTCAGGGTTTATGCTCATCCTGACCCTTAATTGATCAAGAAAGTTGATCTGCGTCCATCCAGAATGTAATTAGACTACATAGCTGGGCGTAGGTAAAAAGTCATGCATTTAGAATACCTTGTGTTGCTCGGGCCGAGTCCATGATGCCTGTAGAGGACAGAGACATAACAACAAACAAAAGGCAAAGCAATTCTTAGAAAGTAATCCTCATCCAGGCAAAGCTGGGACGCTGCACATTGCATGCAAGCGTTAAGTGTCCATATTATTTGTCGTACATCCACAGTCCCTGAGCTGAATGTATGATTTTGACGAGGGTCTGCAGACACAATAAGAGTTTGGATTTCCATACGTGAGAAGCTTATTATGTGTCAACAGGGGTTTTTTTTTTAGAAAGTGTATTTTTGGAGGATTTTTTTTGTGTGTTTTTGTTTGTACTGGAACAAGACAGCTTCTGACGCTCAAAGAAGTAGGTGTATTGGCATCATGACAACAAAAACGCTGACGGATAAAAAAGGTTATTGGTTTATCAGGAAGAGGTGAATCCATTACACAAAGGGATATGGAAGCCTGTTTGGTAAAAGCTGTACGGCGGTTATTGACTAACAATCCATTTTTGAGGCTGAGAGCAATAATGAGAATGTAAAATCCAATAAAACTGAATTTGCTGTGGCACTTGTCTATCTGTGCATATAAAAAGCATGTCCTACATCAAGAAACACCAGTTAGTAGTCATCAAGTCTCGCTGTGTTTCTCAATAAGCGTGAGGGGTTTTTGTTGCACCTCTCCCTATACGCCCATGTGACACCTGGAAATAAATCTCTGCTTACAGGTGCCTGTATCAGATGCTCTGCTCTGAATGTTAGCAGGACTTGTACTACAGTCTCAAACAAAGGGTTGTGCTTTGATTGCATTCCAAGACTAAAACAGACAAAAATGTGAATATTATTCAGAAAATCACAGTAAAGGGGATCAATATGACTAACTTTGTATTATTTAGAGTTACAGAGGTAAGAGAATCACTTATATCAAGATAAATAAGTGATAATCCTCATCATGTTGGTCATATTCCCCACTTTACTGAATGCAGAATTGCTTCACATCATTGCAGGTCAAATCAAACCTCTGGATAGTACACAAACACGTACAACTGTTCCAGTCAACATGCCATGTCAAGTTAAATCACAGTGACACCGAGAAGACGAAAAGCCTTTTAGAAAGCATGCTCTATGGATTTCATGACGCCGAAGAGAAAATGTTAAGCATGACAATGAGATGTGATGACCCACATAGCGAAAGAAGTGTTGAAGCGGTAACAAGCAGAATAATAAACAGCTATTTCATCAGGTGCAACTGTTAAGTAAACAAAAGCAACCGTAAATTATTTTTACAACTAAAAAAAAAATAAATCTCCCTCTCATCATCAATGCTGGTGGCTTGTAAACACATATGGTGTGTTTGAATTAATTTACTTTATATCACTGACAAACCTCATGCAAAAAGGAGGAGATGAGTAAATACTTATTGGACAAATCACATGACAAAGCTCATGGTGTGAGTGTAATTTCCCCGTGCTCTTAAGAGCACAGTGAGTCCTCCCCTGTCAGAGTAAAACACACGTCATTAAAAACAGCAGTTGGCTGCATATCACCACGGTGCCGGGAGAAGAGCGGCGGTCCAATTAAAACAAGCAGCCTAACAGTCTGGAACATCACCACCACGGCTGCACGCGCTCGTCTGCGGCGACGCTGCTGCCGCAAGTGAGCTGACAAGTACCGCCGTCATTTTATGTGACAGGTGTTTGTTTCAGACAAAAAGGACAAGGGACAGCAGCAGGCGCGAGCGTGCAAGACGGAAGTCGACGAAACAAAATGCTCAGAACAATATGACGACGGCTCCCGTTGGGACTTATCTTTTTTTTTTTCCAGCCCATTGTTATTCCCTTCCATACAAGAATTATCCCGGCTCTTTGACGGGAATTGTAATGTCAGCGTGAAGAGGAGACACACTAACACAAATACACTGAATACATAAATGTACAGAAGCCTGGTGGTGTTGTATTCACCGGGGTGACGCCCGACTGAAACTGATGACTGTGCATATTGTCATCATCCTGTGTCATGAACTGCTGAGCTTTTTGCCAGCGCATCGCAGAAAAGTGACATTTCAGTGTGAAGCAACCCTTACGTGATCACCCCCCCCCCCGACTGAGCTAGCAGGCGTGCTGTTGTAACTGAGGAGCCTTTTGTGTTCGGAGGAAACAATGCTCTCTCTGCTACGGCACGCAAAGCTCAAAGCGCTCCTCTGTTTCAGAGGCCCTGCCTAAACCGCTGCCACACCGCATTAATTACACATTTACTTAAAGCAACTCATTACTTACAAGATACTCGTGCATTTCTTTTCTCAGGCCTTTAACTTCTAATTGGCAATCTGGATGCTGGACAGAGCAGACTTTCATAGCAGATTTGTGTCCAGAAACAAAATTACAGACATTAACCAATCAACTACATCATTTTAATGCGCTTCTAAGTTTTATATTTTACTCATTTTTCACTACAACATCCTTCTGTATAGTTACAGTTCAAAAAATATTCCCAGACAATTACAGCTTGAAAACTCTGAGCATCAAGCATTTCATATGTATTCAAATAAGCCAAACAGTCATTATGTAGATAATGTACAAAGGATGGATAAATACTTAATTTACATTTTTCTGTTATTAAACAGACACACTTATCTAGAGTGACTCGCAGCAAATGCATTCCAAGGACTGAAACAACCGTATATACCACACATAGAAGATTAAAGTTTTAAAATAAATATACAAACATTAACTTTAATAGCCGTATAAACAAAACTATCGCCAGATAAGTGCCAATTTGAATTTGAAAACAGGTCTACACAAACAAGCACCCACGAGTGTACAACACTATTAGAGCTTACTAGTTCTTTAATGTACAGTACCGCTGATTTTCTATTGTACGAGACAGTAATCTCCCTCTATCCACGCACACTGTGCACCCCTTTTACTCACAGTTACAGCACAATGTCTTTGTCTGCCGACACAACATTTTGAGTGGGAGGTTATTCATAATGAATGCGTTTCTCCCCGTGTTCACCTTTAAAACCCGAGACCACAGTGAAAAAGGAAACCGAGTCAAACGAATTTCAAAGTGGAAATGAATGGCTAATCTGTCACAGAGCATCAGATGTAACAGGGACTTGGTTTCTTAAATGATTGACATACGGAATCATTCAGGATTCTCTAATCCTGATCTTTTTTGCTCCAACATTACTCAGTAATTCACTATCCTGAGCTACAGAGACCGTGTCCTCTGTGTGCTGCATTTTAAAGTATAATTTCCACATGAAAGGTGAAGGTAACATCATTAAAACCGTAACTCTTGACTCTCTATTCTTTTTACTTTAACATGCAGCTCTACTGAAGGAGTCCAATATAAAGTAGTATATAAAGTTGAAAGGGTGATAGGAGGTGTAATTGTTCGCTTAAAGGTACACTGTGGAGATTTTGCACTATGGAACAATGATTTACAGGTGGGTCCACATTGTGTTGTCCACTGAGTATTTAAACCATGAAAATAAGTTATGGTCCCTCACAAATGTGATCCACTGCATAAGGTAGAATACTCATTTAAGTGTTGCTGTGACTATTCCGCTACTCATCATCTTACTGTAAAAGCAAAGATGATGAAATTGATTATTTACCAAAGATGTCGGTGCATTCCTGGAGTAATAGTCCACCGTCTTCTAATCAGTCATGGCAGATACACTTTACAGTAAAAGTGTCGTTTTTTTTACATTTGTTAAACAGAACATTTTGTCTGTTCCTCATTAAGCAGTGTTCAATAACCATAAGGAGAATTGTAATGTTACAGTGATACAGTATGTGTGATAAAGTAAAGTACTGTATGGGAGTAAAACTCCATCTTTTTATTCTGCATAACAAAGTCCATGTCCTAGATGCACAGTACTATTCAAACAAGAAATTAAACGGGCTAACCGGCTTGGGAGCCCAAGAACTGAAAACACATTCAAATTAACTTCAAATGAATTCTGTGTATTCATCACCACCACACATCTAAACTGGCACAGTACAGCTCTGTACTGGTTTTCTGAGCCACACAAAAATCTCTCTTTTTTTTCTTCTCTTCCTTTAAAGTTTGCTTAAAAATTGAACAGCTGCATTTTTTTTTTCAGTTCAGCATGTCCACCCCAAACGAATGTTGTTTCAATAGTCACACCATCCTAGATGAAATACAGCTGTTATGATGATTGCAGATAGCATGACGGATGGACACCAGATGAACAAACAGAACAAGACGATTAAACAATTAGCAGCCATTCCCTCATGCATTTATTAGAGACACACCACGGAAATCACTTCCCTAGTCGATAATCCGACCTTTGAGGGAAAATGTAAGAAATCTGCATCTACTCGCTCTATACTCTACGATCATTCAGTAAGGCTGCTAATCATTTTTTAAAGACAGCTGTAAAGAGATGCCACGGATCACGAAACATACTGCAGACTAAAGTGCAAAACACACCACCACAGCACAGCTGTGCGTCACATGACGTGTGTCACGTGACATGCCATGGTGCTGCGTGACAACAGGGCTCCGCGGTGCAGAAACTGGGCGGGTAACGTGTATTGTAGCTGCCTGTTTCTTTGTTAATGACAAAGAGCCCCTTTGTGTTATTTGTTCCCTAAGCATCCACAGAGTTAATCTTCACACCTAGAGTACAGCTTGCCAGGCGACGTCTTTTAGGAAAAAATGGTGGGATGCATAAAGCTCTGAGAGTTACTCGAGCCCCCTGATGACAGCTTCAAGATCACAAAAGAAGACTATCCGTCACCGGCAGAAAAGGAAGTTGAGCTTCAGCAGCTGGCAGGTGTGCCGCAAAAAAAGAAATGCTGCTTCTCGTGGGACACCTATGCTTGATAATAGAACAGAGGTGTTAGCTGTTCCTGGGCGGCTGCATTCATGCGTGCCTCGCCACTGTGAGTGTGTAGGTTCACAAGAAAAAGAGAACAGGCCTGTCGTGACGTGCGTCATACGGCGGTAGCGTGTTTTGCACTCAAAGTGACACTCAAAACCTATTTTTGAATATCAAACACTCGGCCCTGTAGGCTTGACAGCTGGTATAGTGTCTGTAGTCTGCTTGAAATCATGTCAATTACAATGGATTCCAGTAGTAACCAGCGTTCAAACTTATGGAAAATAAGTTGCAGCATTATCCACTTCTCCGCTGGCCACTTTTACAATAGGTATGTTCCAAACTCTCACATTTTCATTTTTTTTTGTCTGCAGGGTGTGTTTTGATACTCAAAAAGCTGAAAGGTGGAGCACTTTTACCCTAAATTTTCAAGTGATACCGACATAAATGTTAGACAAACTACAGTACTATGGAAATGATAGACAGATTGAGCTGGGCTTGAATCCAGGCAACCTCATGCTGTGATGTAACGTTTGAAATGATCAGGCAACAGCGACACAGAAATAGCGTCTCTCTCTCTCTTTTATTACGTTATTAACCAAATTGTCATCTGATCTCATGAGATAAGCTCCAGACACTTTCTATCACAAGATCAGCGTGACAAGTTTTCAGGCCACATTTGGGAAGCATGCAGCAGTCAAATCAATTTCATGAACTCTGATGAGATCATTCCTTGGGGTTTTCAAGAAACAGCTGGGAGATTTTCAATAAAAAGAGATTATTTGATTTCGCTGGGGCATACTTTGCAACACTACTCCAGTACATTTCTGTGCCACGTGGATTCCATACCTGATAGATCCTGTTTAGATGTGCCTGTAGGAAGAAAATGTAGTGCATGTAATGGACTGGCTCCAGAATTTCTCTATGAACTACAGTACACCTCTGAAGCATTTCCCCCGTCATTACCTCTCAACTGTAGCAAGAAACGAAGACCTTGAAGAAGCGGGCCATGTGGGCAATAGATGTGCGAGAATACCAATCAGGCATTCATTGTTTCTGATGGTTTGCACATGGAATATTGCAGAAAACATTACCAAGAGGACATCGTATCGAGGATGTAATGGTTGGTAAAAAGCTAGCTGAAAACAAATTTAAAAGATGGTAGCAGGATATCAATAGAGATTGATAGTCAATAGAACATACTAAATTAAACTTTTCAATCTCCAGCATGAGCAGAATGATGATAATGGTGATTGAAAATGCTAAACAAATACTTGATCGTTCAAGTGCTCATTCCAGCAAATACTGTACAATAAGAGGCAGATCAAGTTTAATCATTGCCTCAAATTGCATGATTATTTGGGGAATGTTAAAATTGGGTTTCTGATGCAGATTGTCTTGACATTTGGGAAAACTCACTAGTGTACTCCACATTACTGGCTGAGTATTGCTGAGCTAATTGCATGAGATCCTCGGGGCCATCGAGAAGACGCTGCTAATTTAGGGGAAATAATCAGCAGTACGTAATCTTGTCGAAGGAAACGGCAGAAGTCCCCGACCTGTGCATGATCAATATACCTCTTTAGGTAAAAAGGCATTCAATTCCTCTCCTTGAGACACCGGAGTCCTGCAGGTTTGTGTCGCTCGCAGATGCTTACCATGCAGTGTCTCAATTCCACATCACATGCTAATATGTTATAAAATATACTGTAAGAACGTTCATTTCATTTTGCACGTGCAGGAACTGATGCATGAGATTAATTGATATCAGTCAAACGGCAACTTATAAATAACTTTAATTACCGCCCCGCGGTTGTCTGCCCCCGCCAATCCTCGAGTCCAAGGGGACGTTTGTGCCAAATCTGCACAAATTCCCGAGAGGCGTTCCTGAGATCGCGTCTTCACAAGAATGGTATGGATGGACAACATAATGCCTGTCGCTGTCGCCGGCGCAGAGGCATAGAAGTATATCACCAATTTACGAAATGGAAGTATCACAAATGGCAAGTATAATAAATGTTTATTTCTATATAATTTACTTTCTGTGCCATCTCCAGAGACAATACACCCCTATCATCACATCCATCTTTTATTAAACTCTAACAAGTGGTTTCAGTGTCTAATTTCCCCAGTGTGTACTAGTTACTTAAAAGTTTAGAGGTTAGAATGAATGTATAGTGTGCAGCTGGGACACAGATATATCAGTCTACTTTGCACCAGTTGTGATTCATTAACTTCAGGTGGAAAATTGCTTGCAGGACATCGGCCCTCAAGGAGCAGAACTGAGTACCCAAGATTTAGATATTGAGCTTCTCCTGTCATCCACACTGTCTTTATTATCTCACCTGCTCTCCCTCAGTGAAGACGTGCTCACCGGAACTCCAGCTGATGGTGGGAGTTGGATCTCCTGATGCCTCGCAAGTCAGAGTTACCTGCTCCTCCATCTCTGAAGTGCTCTGGTTTACGATGTAAGTGATCTTAGGTTTGACTGTAAACACAAACACAAAGTCCTCACAGAGGCACAAGCACAACAACACAAGGCAGGTGGTTCGGCAGCACAAATGCAATAAGTAAAACAGCAACTCTGTAGATGTGTGATGTGTTCAAAAGGAAGCTGATCTGTAGCATGACACTGGTGATGGGAGGTTTCTATGGCAGCAAAACTGTATTTAAGCTTTTCCAGTCACAGCTGTGGCAAAGTTGTGATAACCATGTTTGAATCATTAAAGTAATAATATATTTAGCCTATCCCAGGAGTCGATTTTCCTTTTTGTTTAGATTTGAGAGAACTGTTGTGTAATTGGTACACCTGAGCTAACCTGAAAGGATGCCACAACTGTGACGCTCAGGGAAGCAGACTGAAATACTACTACTATAAGTGTGCTGTTGAGCATTACTCTGTGCTTTCATACTTTTTTTTTTCCACTCCACTCTAAATGATGAATGCATGAATTGAGCAATCCATTTGGACATTTTAAATGTACGTCTATTCATTCGAGTAAATACTGTGTAGTTTACAATTTTTTTTTGAAACCTTGTATTAAAATGCTTTTAGCTCAACCGGTAATTATTACACAAGCAAAGGAACAGCAGTGTTGTCATTTTGTAATTTCTAAATAAAAACATATTTGGACAAGCAACAATTTGTATTCATTTGTACAATTATATTCCAAACTAACATTAAAAGCCCCATTCGGACAGGAACAACATTACGGGGGACATTACAACCAGGAAATGACAGGATATGATTTGTAATAGACGAAGGCAGGACGAAGCTAAAAGAATAAGTCAACAGCCTCCCCAGAGGGTAAAGGCAATCGCACAGGGAGAGACGTGAGTTAAAAATCGCACTCCTTCTCAGACTTTTAACTCAGTCAAATCTTAACACACAGACTTGAACACATATTGATATAATTCAGTGTGACCTACACTTCCAGAGGATATCATTATCTGCAATATTACAGTATCTATTGTGAATAAACATCCGTAAAACTGCTTAGAAATAGTTGTCTGATGCTATATTAATGCTCTGAATGTCGTATAATGCTCTTTTAAAATACAAGGACGTTGCTTCGGGCGCTATTTAATATACAGGGGAAAAAAACTGAGTGTAATTGCGGCTGTAAATATTACTGAGGTTGGGGTGAAAATGACCCACAGACGCACTCAAGATCACCCCACCTCACCAAGATAAGTAAGTCCAGTATGAATGAGACTTTTATCAGAATTATTGAAGACTATGGAGAAAAGTATACAATTGTAAAACACATTTTCAGGGCCCTTAAGGCTGAGTGTGCACCGCGCAGCTATACTATGTAGGAAAATATAAACATATGATCAGATAATTACAGGTACTAAATATTCAAGAACTCAAATCAGGATCAGGGGAAAAGAACACATTTAAACAGAGGTGGGAGCTTACAAGGGAACTCATGATTGCATCTTTCCCACATTGATGCAAGAAGAGCAGAGCATTGAAGGCGCTTTCAGATAATGGGGTAAATATTGCTTAATAGGTAAACAATGTGCTTTGAAAGCTCTTCTCAGTAATTGTACAGTAACCGTTTACCTGTTGAGCTGTAAAGGCCACCTGAACCAGCTAACTCATTGTGAATTCAATTGACCTGACTACATGCACCGTTATTGTGGTTGGGATTGAAATTATGGCCGTTACATGACAGAATAAAGACAACAACAACTTAGTGGGCACAGGAGAAGAAAGGCAGAGCTCATCCCACTTGGCCAGTTCTCTGGATCCTTAAGCTTCATCCTTACATGAAACAACCACAACCCACACTGAAACAACACCTCATCCTGTATCCCTTAGAAAACAGACACATAACCATAGTATTGCTCTTCCCCCACCTACATAGTCTTATACCTCATTCCCACACACTTGGAACATTGTATGTTATCACTTTAGTTGATGTATGTATGTATATAAAACGTTCTGCCTTACCAAACACCTTCAGACTGAGTTCCTTCTCACTTTCCCCGGCCTTGTTCTTGGCAATGCAGGTGTATTCTCCTTCGTCCAGCTTGGTAACATCCAGCAGTGTCATTTCTGAGCCATCTTCATTGAAGCTGTACTTCTCTACTGCCTCGAGGACCACTTCGTTCCTGTGGATATATGGATTATATCCGTCTATACACTTGTTTTCAAACTATTGGTTAAACTGCACCATTTAAAAAAATATATACATATATATAACTGGTTTTCAAATAATGACTTTAGAAAATTATCAATAGTTTCTAGATGCTTGAATGACGAATAAAAGATGAAAGGGTAAAGGGTAGAAGTGCAGTGACGAAAAAAAAAGAGGTGAAAGCTGAAAAAATGTGAATTTTTTACTTCTGCAAGCGTTTTAACATTCAGTGTTAAGTGTTCTAACAAAAGATGTATTTTACTGTTGGCAGCCATATCAAAAGAGATGATGTTCTCCAGCCTCAAACGGTCTGCAATCACTTGTTCAGGGTTTCAATACAGCTCTCAACAAATGACAGGTGCTGTCTAGCTGCACATTTATAAAAAAAATGTGTTTCAGGGGCGACACGATACTAAAAGCCAAGGCTGTTTGCACTTTGTGCCCCCAAATCCAGGCCGTCTGCACGGCTAACTGCTGTCTAGGAAACAAGATGAACGGGAACAGTTCAACAAAGCAGGACGCTATCAATGGCTGTATTCAGATACACAGAAGGATAGAATAATGTGGCTATTGATAACACGCCGGTCTTCAGGTTTCACTGTTTACATGCACTTTTGATAACCTGTGATTAGGTTTCCCACTGCAATGAATAAACCAGTAAGTACAGTATATCCCTAATATCCTAGTGTCGTCCAGATGTGTGTGTGTGCTACTGTATGGATGTTTGAATGACTACTGCAAGATCCTATGTATTCTGTGATCTGTAATAAACATGACATCATTATGTAATAATTATATAATCATGTTGAATTTAAAATAATGTAAACAATGTTTTTATAACAACATAAATGATGCAAAGTTGGCCATTAATGCTACAGGATTACTGACGTTAAGTAAAATTTAACTTTTTACGCAATCCTGCCAACAACAAACAGTCAAAACATAAAATAAATTAGACTATAATGATAGTCATGCTTGATTCTTATGCCCAAAAAAAGTGATACTACAAAATTAAACTCTTTAGAAACTATACTATGAATACTGCCAGTCTAATTTGCTCTTATATGTAGTACTTGTCCAACCCACACAGCTCATTATTTCTAATAAGCCATTTCTCTTTTGTCCGTTACTGTCTGCTTTAACCGATACTGATCTCATGTATCAACAACCATTTCTGCTACTCCGTCAAGCTGTCAGAGCTATCATGGAGCCCACTGTGTCAGTAACTGCACGCCCTGAATAAATATTATCTAATTTTTGAGAAAATGAAAAAGCAATTGAAAAAGCAGCAACACAGAACGGTCTACAATATGCATTTGATGGATATGTCCAGGAAGTCAAACTGAGTCAGCGAAAAACAGGTTAAAAGATAAAGATAGAAGCCAAAGCTACAGATCACAGTGTAAAAGTGAACCCTCACATCACCCGCCGATCGAGACAGAAGACACTGAAACAACACTGTTCCTGTAAATTCGGTTCGGTGTGTATTCACTGTTACAATCATTAAACAGCAAAAGCAGCATGTGGAGACATGTAGTATACATTCAGTAGCTAACGTAGCATAGATGTGCTAATGCTATTTAATAATGTGCTAACATACAACTTATGTATAGTTTAAACTTTAACAGGCGTCCAAGATTGAAAATAAATGACAATCTCTCCGCTGTTTGTGTATGTGAGTTAACACAAATAAAGAAAAATAAAAATAAACGAAAAAGTGAAAGGACTAAGTTTCTTGCATGTAACAGCAGTCACACTATCATTAGATTAAGTCAAGCCTAATTGTTTGCTTTTTTCAATAGACTGATTTTTATGTATGTGTCAGGCCTTACTAAAGGTGAACAAATATACAGATACATGTTTGAATTATTAGGGCAATGTGCCGGCATCTGACGAGTGCTGCTGCAAAGTATTTGTCTCTCCATTAGCTAGCAGAGTTTTACCTTGTCCATGTCACCATGGGTTCAGGGAAGCCGTCAACAGCACAAGTTAACATGGCAGGCTGCCCGACATCTGCCGTGGCATTCACCTCTGACTGCCATACCCTGATGGTCGGGAGCACTGAGACACACGGAGATAGAGAAATAATGAAAAAGAGAAACGGAAATAAAGAAATTGGTCGACAGACGGATACACAGGCAGAGAGTCGCATAGATAAATAGCAGCGAGGGGAAGAAAACAGAGACAGAAGCTTTGACAAATTCAGAGCACTTATTTTCGGCACACTCATTTGCTTGGCTCAGAAGTTGCAGGAAACAGACTTCATTAGCATGGAACATCTTTGATACACGGTTGCTCTGGGCAACTGGTTCCACGTTGATGCCGAGCCCGGTCGCCTCTGAGGATACACAGCTTATTTAAGCATCGCGGGACACCTGCCGCACACAAACACGCACGCGGGAACAAGAAAGGAGAGAGTGCGAGGTGTGCTCACCGTTCACAACCACCTTGATGACCCGCAGATCAATCTCGCCGCGGGCCATGAGGCGACCCTCGCAGATGTACGAGCCCTCGTCGGTCTTCTTTATGCCACGGATTTGAAGGTGATTGTTGCTCAGTACCTTAAAGCGAACTGAAAGAAAGCAGCAACATAAATGTCAGGAGCGCTTTATTTGTGGAAAGTTTAAATTAGGCACACGTCAGTATTCGATGATGAACAGCTGTTGTTGTGCTACCCAGACGGTTGCATCGTGATGTAATGAAAGAAAAATCAACACGGCAAAGACTCACTTTGATATATCTGGCCGACAACAATTTAACTCAGATGTCTGATTTAAAAACCAATATCTTTGCATTATTACTACAAATGTAATGTTGAATTTATGCATTTTCATTAAGTTCAATGTACAATCTTTGTGTCTGTGTGGGATACTCGTACATGAAAAAATACTCTATCTAGGACACCGATTAGATGTCATTTCCACTTCGTCAAAGTCATATCCGTGAGCTTGCCCAACACTCCTTTCACCAGCTCCAGAAGAGGAGAAATATGGCCCACAAGAGCTCTCTCACTTGGAGATGAAATGTGAACCGAACAAATTTAATCATGTAGTAATTCAAAATACTATCTCAGCCCACACATGGGCTTGTGTTATTATTTTCCAGTGATACCAACAATACCAAACACATCATGATATTGCTCCGTGTCAGAGGTGAAAAACAGAGAATCGGTTCTATTTTCAAATTCAAAACAAAATTATTTTTTCCTTTCAAACCACAGGAGAAACCCTGGAGGAGAACGGCAATAAAAGCCGGGCATGAACAACTTCAAGTCTCTAATAAATCTACATATATCCATTATGCTTGAGCCTGTTGTTGTATTTTGTTGCACTCTTTTAGTTTCTAGTAGTCTATGTTCATTATAGGTACAATAAATTAGTCACATTTTCTGTTTTAGGTCGGATTATTGTTGTAAAATAATAATCCGAGTTTATCCTCAAATATTAACTCTACTGCAGCACTCCAATGAGTATGGTCATACAGATATGTATGACGACCTTTCAAAGAAATACAACACAAAATGTTTAGTTATGACACATTTTTTAATTATTTAGATTCTTTGTAATACGATTGATTTCAAAGGCCTTTTATGCAAACTATTATGCAATCTACTAGACCGCGCAAACTAACCGTCAAACAATATTACACATAATGTGTCGCGTTAAAACAGAGGACATGAGCTTAAATAATCAAATGAAATAGAAATATGATCCCCAAGGACACTCAGAGAGCACTTACCATCTTTTTCCATTTCTATTTTTGCTCCTTTAAATTTCCAGAAGATCATGGGTGGAGGCGAACTGATGACGTCGCAAACAATGTTGGCACTGTCTCCTTCTGTAAACTCTTGGGGTGAGGGTACGTTTGTGAAGGTGATTTTTTCTGGAATAACAACATAAACATAAATACTTTTTACTCATCGATCATTTAACGAGTCTCATCAAAACTCCATCTTCTCAACACAAAGTTTGACTGCTGGGAAGAAATGCATTCTTATTCAAAATTACAGATACAGGAATTCGTCAAGCACATGAAACAAGATATCGTCAAAGTAAAGGCAGCAATTTTGTTTAAATTCCCTGCTTTTTTCCTGTAAAACAAAACTGGGGGAGTGCTTGGCAATTTTACCAATCACCATCTTTTCTACTTATAAAATATCCAATTCTGACCCATTTTACAACCAACCAACTTCACTGTAGCTAAGTGAGGAGGACTTTCTTTCAGGCGTTGCTTTGCGAGCTTATTATTACTCAAAACAAACCCCCCTGACTCCCCACTTTAAGTTACCAGAACTAAAGCATATCTAATTTAAAGTAATTTCTAAAGCTCACCATTTGTTTAATGAGGAGCTCTGCGGGGCATGGAATTAAATTAAAAAGTAACAGAATTCTATTCTACTTCCCAGCTATAAATCTACAGCATCCCAACAAGGCTTAAAATATGAAGACATTGTTTTTGTTATATTATGCAGATCATTTCTTGCGAAAAGTTTTAATGTAAAACCATAAACACACACATACAAAGTAAAAAAACAGCTATTCAAAAGTAAAACTGCGGCTGTAACACTCATTGCCTGCAGGGGGCAAAAGTGGTGAAATTGCAGCAGCTGTTATTTTCTTTGACTGCAGGGTGTGACATCGCATTACATCTGCAAACTCGTCCTCGTACTTTCCTTTACTATAGGTGGCAGAAGTTGGCGCGTGTGCAACCGCTCCGACAACAGCAGTAGCTTGTGAATGTATGAGTTTGTGAGTGGACTACGAGCCAGTTCCATGAAGTGCTTCACATCTAAAAACAGTTCAAATGTCCTGAAAAGACAAACTTCTGCATAAACAGTCTCACGCCTTCGTAACAAGTAGCGCCCCTGCCTCTTTTGTCAACAATACAAGTGTTTGGGAAGTAGTGAGCATACAACTGTATGTATGGAACTTGGATTATACTGCACAAGTTGTGGGGGAGTTTGTACTTTGATAAAGTTTTGATAAAGAATTCAAGGTAACACGGGGTGACGTATTCCTTTAACATCTACTGAGCCAAGACAAATGCAAATTACAAACAGAAAAATGCAATCTTATTTTGCTGTATATTGATTTCCATATGCAGTATCTACATGGGTGACCACTTCTAATCATAATCTAAATAGGAAATGAAATAACAGGAAAAGTTCTGTTTGGGAAAGAATTTCGTCTCTGATGGACATTTGCTGATGCTTGGCATTCATGGAAAATAAAAGCCATTACTCACAAGAACGGCACAACAGACAGGATCATTAAGCAGCCCTCTAATGGTCTTCCGACCGTTTATTGAACTGATAAAAAATCCATCCTCACTTGAAAAGAAAAAGAGTAATGTGTTGCCCTTGAGCAGTCAATAAAATACTACGAGTTCAATAAACAGTTTTGTTTTTTCTTCTTCTCTGTTCATACGACTCCATCATTTGCAGAGTGTGTGAGTTGAGGAAAAAAGAAACACTTACGGAAGATCTTCACTTTGACAGTTGACTCCCTTTGCTGGTCTCCATTGGTAGCGACACACTTGTATGTCCCTGCGTTTTCCGTCCCAGCTTTGTACAGTGTGAGGGTGGAGGATGACTCATCGTTGCGGGTTACTGTTATGTCTGGCCTGTTCGCTTCTATCCTGTCCCCACTTGGTCCAAACCAGTCTATCTGCCTGGCAACACCTACAACTGAGAGCACAGTGAAGAGCTGCATGTTAGAAAACGGTTATCTAAAACATCCACATTCAACACCAGAAAAGGTCACCAGTGCCCACAGACCGAATATTTTACTGTGGGTTGTTCATGCGCCTTGCATGGCCTGAAGCCTGTTTGTGCCTTTTTAGCTCTTTACAAACAACTACAATTTCATTAAAGTCAAATGAAAAAATATCCAATTGTAAACTCAAGCATTTGATGCCATTGTCTTGCCTTGAACAGATGGTGAGGGCAACGGGAAAAACGAAGGTCAATCATTGAGTCAATGGATGACCAGGACGCTTCCGCCATATGGATAGATGTCGAAATCATCAGGATGAGACTAAATGTTTTTAAAAGATGGCTTTGTAAAGCAATGTGGTTTTACAACATAATCCTGCCAAAGAGGATGAGAGGTTGGCAAAGTAAAGTACGTGTATTAGTACTCGCTAGTATTCTATTATTTGTACTTTGTCTGAGAGCCAGTTATTGATGTCAAAAATATATACAAGTACCAATTTAGTTTGTTCAGGTAAAATATATTTGAAAGGATTATTTTGATATTTTCATGAGAGTATCAGCTCAAAACACAGACCTCTGTCGGTAGGCTGGGGGGGATCTTTGCAACTTCTCTTGTATGTAAAAATGGAGGTAAAAAGTGAAAGGTGTTGCTGGATGCAGGTTTGAAAGGGAATGAAATGTGTTGTGTTCACAGTCATCACAGTTTGGTAAACTTACCTTCACACATGAAGAATTTGGACTCTCCAAGACTAATCTCCCCGTGACTTGGAGTGATCTGCACTTCCAATGAAACTACAACAGAAAAAAAACAAATATAAATCACAAAATCTGAAACTTGCCAACATAATAAATGAAGCACAACATGTATACACATCAATGTATGCCATCTAAAATCAAGAAAAGAAGTAGCCATCTGCAGGCAATCATCACTTCAGGTTTTCCCCATTTTGTATTTGATGAATTCAAATTTGATTTGCTGATTACTGGAAAAAGTATGGAGTTCACACATTCATCATGTATCTTTTGTTCTCGGGCAGAGGCAGAATTGAATTCCTATTTGACTATTTAACACCGACTGAAGGTTGCTCTGAGGTTAATTGCTTAATGTTTTATAATTATTTGATTGCGGATAACAGTTGGTACAAGTAGTGAATGTGAAACTTTAAACACACAATCAAAGACAAAAGCAGTTAAAACGATAATAAAGAATCAAGCTGCGTCTCTCATTTCCGTCAGTTGGCCTAAATTACAGCAGCTGTTATTTTCCATGCCTGTAGGTGGCGACATTCATATCTTTGCACATACACATCCACGTTCTTTACTGTGGTTGAGTAGGCAGTAGGTACAGGAAACCTGTAGAAACGGCCAGTTTTGGCTCCAGCAGCCAAAAACCCTGATACCGTATGTCCTTTTCCTCTTTTGGCTGCAGTCTTCCTGGTCTTTAGAGAGAAATGACATCCATTCAGCACTGCAATTATTGAGTTAACACTCAGCAGTTGGTAAGAACCAATGCTGTGCTGCCAGTGTATTTTGAAATTTAAGATGCTTTTTTGTTTTCTGTTTGTCTAACGAGATAAATACAGCGTGTGTCTCAGTGAAAGCCTGCACTTAATCAAAGACCGGATCAAAAAGACAGATTTCTGTTATTGACCACGGACAGAAGTATGGCCTGAAACACTTCTCTGCTTAATTAGAACAAAGCTTCACTTGTTCCTTGCAGAGTCTCCCATGGGGGCCTGTGGTGAGACTAAGAAGTGTGACGAAATTGGCCCAAAATGCATAAAATTGTATTTTCAAGAGTGACCACTGCTAGGTATAAGTGGCAAGAAAAATATATTTTCCAAAGCCCTAGTTATTAAATCGTAATTGCTTGGGTTCCTTTTTGACTAAAGGTTAGAAATAAAGTCAATGTATCTTGTGTACAGATTAGACTAATCATCAAAGAAGACCAAGAAAACCAGTAAAAACAGTATTGACATTTTGAGAAGCTGGAACCAGTGACTGTACTTAAAATAACACGTAAATAATTGATCAATGATCGATTATTTCTCTTTGGGGGGACTCTGATCAATTAATCGCCTCAGATCTTAACTCATCAACATCCCTGACTGGCAGAGCAAGATAATAATTAGTTGTACTGAAAAGGCTAAAACGGAACCAAAGACAGATCAAAAAGTGTATAAATGTTACCCGTCTCTTGTACACTATTGATTCTCATCTATTGAGTTAATACTTGTTATTCAATACAGGAAAGAGTCACAGGAAACAACCAGAGGTATGCATGCAATACACGGCTGAATTAAGACCTTGAAAACCCTGTTCAGCAAACCAAAATGTAAATACTGTTTACTACGTCTTCCAGACAAGGATACTAAGTGGGTGTGTGGCGTATGATCCCTCATCCCATCAGAGCAGCAGTGGCAGGTAGACACAGAATATAGGTTTAGACTTTGAAATCGCTGTTGTTTGCGCTCTCTCTGCACTATTATTGATAGCATGAATAGCAGTTATTCAGTTCTATCTTTAAATGAGCCAAATTGTTTCATTTTGTCAGCAGGGTTTGATGTTCAAAGTGAAGGGACATGAAAGCCAGGCATCAAAAAACCCTCTCATATTATTCTCATATGAACTGACAGCTAAGACACTGTTATGTTAATTTATGGATAAGGGTTTTGTTTTAATTGGAACAAGGAAATAACTACCGTTGGTATTCATTTAGTGGAACAGGCAACTCATTTGCAGAGGAGGCGAGGAGATGATGATTAATCAAGTCAAGTCAAGTTTATTTGTAAAGCTCATTATCACATTCGATGTCTGAAAGTGCTTTATATTTGTAATGGTTCCCTACCGAGCCAAAGCTATCTAAGCAGGCGAGGAAAAAAACCTTAAAAACAAGCTGGTTGTATTACTACTGTTGAAATGTGGTCAAATTGTTGTATTTTTGTGTTTCTATAACCACTTTACTTCGTGGTTTCAGCTTTTTTAAAGGGTAAACCCATTATAAGAACTCCAATAAAGTAAAGCGAGTGAATGAAATATGCGCCGTTCGATGACTCCATGCATAGATGTACGATCAATCTGCCATATTTTTCAATTTCAAGGGAGGTGGAGTGGCGATTAAAGAGAAGGGTGAGATGTGGAGCAGGGGCTGAAATAGTGTCCTGTAGTGTTAAGCATACTGACTAGAATGGCTGAGCTCTCTGTGCACTTCAGGTCGTCCTGGAGTATAAAAGGTTATTTTCTTTTTTTTCAGAAACTAAAAATAATTCTGTCCGACATTTTTGCCAGAAATGTAGAAGTTTCAGAACATCGCAGAACTACACTTAACGTTTACAATAGCATTGCGTTTCAGGAGCAAATTAAATGCAAATGTGTGGGGGGGATCCAATAATACTGTGTACAGTATGTATAATACACGAGCTAAAGCTAAGGCAGTTTAATACAGCAACCCTGCGATAACCATTTATATGAATGAAAGTAGAGTAGCCTGAATGTCTCAAACACCTCGCACCACAAACTACAGCCTCCAAAATGACCATGGAGTTGAATCAAACCTGAACACCATGACGTTCATGAAGGTAGGATTCATTGCAGGACTGTTGCATTAGTTTTTAGCTGGGTGCAACTTATAAACTTGCAACTGTATACAGTTGTGTGAAAAAGTGTTTGCCCCCTTCCTGATTTCTTATTTTTTTGCATGTTTGTCACACTTAAATGTTTCAGATCATCAAACAAATTTAAATATTAGACAAAGATAACACAAGTAAACACAAAATGCAGTTTTTAAATGAAGGTTTTTATTATTCAGGGAAAAAAAAAATCCAAACCTACATGGCCCTGTGTGAAAAAGTGATTTGCCCCCCCTGTTAAAACATGAATTAACTGTGGTTTATCACATCTTTGGAAAGCTGAGTTCAATTTCTCTAGCCACACCCAGGCCTGATTACTGCCACACCTGTTCTCAATCAAGAAATCACTTAAATAGGACCTGCCTGACAAAGTGAGGTAGACCAAAAGATCCTCAAAAGCTAGACATCATGCTGCGATCCAAAGAAATTCAGGAACAAATGAGAAACAAAGTAATTGAGATCTATCAGTCTGGAAAAGGTTACAAAGCCATTTATAAAGCTTTGGGACTCCAGCGAACCACAGTGAGAGCCATTATCCACAAATGGCGAAAACCTGGAACAGTGGTGAACCTTCCCAGGAGTGGCAGGCCAGGAGTGGCCGGCCGACCAAAATTACCCCAAGAGCGCAGCGACGACTCATCTAAGAGGTCACAAAAGACCCCAGAATAACATCCAAAGAACTGCAGGCCTCACTTGCCTCAATTAAGGTCAGGGTTCATGACTCCACCATAAGAAAGAGACTGGGCAAAAATGGCCTGCATGGCAGAGTTCCAAGACGAAAACCACTGCTGAGCAAAAAGAACATAAAGGCTCGTTTCAGTTTTGCCAGAAAACATCTTGATGATCCCCAAGACTTTTGGGAAAATACTCTGTGGACTGATGAGACAAAAGTTGAACTTTTTGGAAGGTGTATGTCCCATTACATCTGGCGTAAAAGTAACACGGCATTTCAGAAAAGGAACATCATACCAACAGTAAAATATGGTGGTGGTAGTGTGATGGTCTGGGGCTGTTTTGCTGCTTCAGGACCTGGAAGACGTGCTTTGGTAAATGGAACCATGAATTCTGCTGTCTACCAAAAAATCCTGAAGGAGAATGTCCGGCCATCTGTTCGTGACCTCAAGCTGAAGCGCACTTGGGTTCTGCAGCAGGACAATGATCCAAAACACACCAGCAAGTCCACCTCTGAATGGCTTAAGAAAAACAAAATGAAGACTTTGGAGTGGCCTAGTCAAAGTCCCGACCTGAATCCGATTGAGATGCTGTGGCATGACCTTAAAAAGTCGGTTCATGCTCGAAAACCCTCCAATGTGGCTGAATTACAACAATTCTGCAAAGATGAGTGGGCCAAAATTCCTCTACAGCGCTGTAAAAGACTCATTGCCAGTTATCGCAAATGCTTGATTGCAGTTGTTGCTGCTAAGGGTGGCCCAACCAGTTATTAGGTTTAGGGGGCAATCACTTTTTCACACAGGGCCATGTAGGTTTGGATTTTTTTCCCCCCTTAATAATAAAAACCTTCATTTAAAAACTGCATTTTGTGTTTACTTGTGTTATCTTTGTCTAATATTTAAATTTGTTTGATGATCTGAAACATTTAAGTGTGAAAAAAACATGCAAAAAAATAAGAAATCAGGAAGGGGGCAAACACTTTTTCACACAACTGTATATCCACTGTATATCCCCTATATAATAATAAATAATAGAAGAACAGGTACTATAAATTGATAACTGATAAATTGCTAATGTGCTAATTCATCACAAACTGGGATGTAACTGGATCAGCTGTGTGCATTGAATTAATGTCCAGAAGTCAGAAAGCAGCGAGCCACATTGTGAAAGCTGCCTGTGTACTTCACAGCACCGTGTTTCCTATATTAAAAGCAACAAAGCAAAACCTTTGTCATATCCTGCAAGCAAGCTGACATTCAAAATGATGAACAATCCCCCATCCCCTTCTCTGTCTCTCGCTATATGTTTTTCTTCTTATTCTGTAGAATATTACAATAGAAGAACAATACAGCAGCACAGTCTGGGAGTTTTCCAAATTAAAATATTCTGTAGCTCAAGCAGTCATTTGTCTGCTCGGATCGAAGGCAGCTCCATGGCCCGTATTGCACATAGTGATGAGCAAGACAGTGTCACTTCTTTTGAACCAACAGC